AAGTGCCCTACATCGGACACACTCTTAGGCACAAAAGGAAGCCGGATACTGCCCAGGCACCCCCCCCCACACCTGCAAACCCACAGGACACCCTACACACACTGCGAACAAACATGCAGCCCCAGATCCATACACTGACTCCACCAAACACACAATGACAGTCTTGAGGCCACTGCCACACACTCTTGGTGGCCCACGGCTGGCAGGTCCCTGCTGGACATCCCCTGCAAATAGAGCTAACCCCGCAGCTGTCTCCATCCCACCCTGGCCTGTCCCCCAAAACACGAATGACTCAGGAACTTGGAGGCACAGCTGGTCATGGCCCCTGGGAACTCACTGCCCCGTGTCTCTTAGGGTGAGGTGAGGGTGTCTGGGGGGGTGACACAGACCGGTCACCTCGGGTGACTCTGACAGACGCTGCACACCCCCGCACAGGGCTCACGCGATCACCCACAATTAGCCTGAGACGCACCCACGGGCGCCGACAAGCGCACACAAACACCCACAGCTCAGACTGCAGACAGCCTGCACGAGCAGCCTCCACCCGGCCCCCAAATAACCAGAGGGACTCGGCCCCACGGCAGCCCCCACCCCCAGGAGGCCCACTGGCTGCAAACTCAGCATTCAGACATGAATTTCTCAACTGACCCCATGCGAACCCCTAATTTCCCCCTCCCGCAGATGGAGACTTCTTGCCTTCCCCAGCCCACTGCTTGGAGGGGCCAGTTCCCGCCCCCAGCAGCACCCCTTCTCCCACGGAGGGGGATGCCTGACAGGCGGGCTCCTGAGGCCACCCGGGCAGGTACCAGGGCAGTGAGGAGACCCTGGCTGCTGTCTAGACAGCCGCAGCCCCCCCAGGACTCCACGTGGGGAGCCCCGTGGGCACGTTGCTGCTCGCCCCATAATGGGCCCTTTGTCTGCCAGGCCCTGACTCCGCCTGCCCCCGCCCCCCAAGGGCGTGTACACGGATCAGGGCAGGCTGGCACACTGGGGTGTTGGGGTAGTTCTCAGGAGGGGCCAGACACCCCTGCAAGGGCCCAACCTCTGACCTGTGCCCCTTTCTCCCTTACCCCGACCGACCCTGCCCTTCAACTTGCCGGGCTCGCCCCCTCCATTCCATTGCCTGCCCATCTGGCTCTCCCGGGATCCCCCCACTCCCAGCCCCCGACTGGCGCCAGCTGCTGAGCTTCAGGAGGGGGTAGGGCGAGGCCTGGGGCAAGCCCCGGGGCACCTTGGCTTCTGGAAGGCCGGGGGCTTCGTGCCACTACTTCACCCCCTCCCCAGGCGGGCCATAAGGGAGGGCTGGGGCGGGGACGCGGGCGCAGCAGATTCAGAGGCACCCGGCCTTGCACCCGGGCCGGGTGTAAAGCAGCCCGAGACCATTCCCCGCCTCCCACTCCCTCCCAGCCCGCGGCGCGCGACAGCCACACCGGATCCCGGGTCTGGCCCCCAGAAGGCCACAGGGAGTCGCCCCCACCCCCGCTCGTGCAGCGGCCCGAGTGAGGAAAGGCGCGCAACTCGTCGAGGTGACCCCCACCACGACGCACGCGGCGAAAGGCACTGGAAACCTCAGACCCGAGCCCCGGGACAAACCGGAAGGGCGGGAAGCGCGCACTGACGGCGCAGACAAAGGCAGACGGACCCCGGGTGGGGCCCGAGCCGCCCAGCCCCGCCCCTCCCGGTTGAGACGGTCCGGGACGCCACGCCCAATGGGAGGGCCCGCGCTGCACCTCCTCCCGCCCTCTGGAGCCAAGCCGGGCCCGATGGGCGGGCCTAAGGGCCGCTCTCCCCTCCGCCCAATAGGAGGGCCCGCCCGCACCTCCTCCCGCCCCCTGGCTCCAAGCACGCCCCGATGGGAGGGCCCCGCCCCGCCCAGTAGGAGGGTCCGGTCCGTCCCGCCCCTGACGCTAGGACACGCCCCCGGCGCCTGCTTTTCTTCACCTTCCTTAACCTGTCTCGGGACCCCATTTCCCGGGACCTCGCTTCTTGGTGGGTCAAGGTCAGGCCGCCCACGGAAGCTAGAAAGGATGGGACACCGAAATTTGCAGTTTGAGAGGGGGCTCTGTCTGGGCTACTCCCTCCCACCGTGTGGCAAGATGGCACCCCGATTTCGGGGTCACCAAGGAGAGTCTTTCTAGGGTCCCACGAGAGCGTGGCACAAAAGCATAGACCCTCTGTTCCCTGCCTTTGGTTAAGATGGGCATCCTGATAGAGGGTGCAATGTTTGTGACGCTTTATTAATACTGTTGCTGTTCCTATTAGTAATAAACCATATTATAGTCTATAATTTTATAACATGCCCTCTGAATTCACCCCCCTCCCCTCGATCTAGAAATTATTCTTAGGGTCACCAGCTCAGAGGCGGAGACCCCGCATGCTCAGTCCTTTGGAAGAGCCCAGAAATGATCCCCAGGTTTATCCAGTGGGTTGGAGGGCAGGGAGGGGCATCACCAGAGCTCGGGCGTAGGGTTGAGAGGGTTGGGGAATTCTTAGGAACAGATCTGTGGGTGGGATCTAAAGATTCTAGTTTATTATTTTTTTGCTTTTTTTTTTGGTGGGAGGGTTCACACCTGGCTATGCACAGGGGGTACTCCTGGCTCTGCACTCAGGAGTTACTTCTGGCGGTGATCAGGGGACCATTTGGGATGCTGGGAATCGAACCGGGGTCGGCCACTTGCAAGGCAAACGTCCTACCCGCTGTGCTATCACTCCGGCCCCAGAGGGGGGATTTTTTAGAGAGGGATTAAGTCTGGGGATTGTTTACCCATGGGCTGTAGAGAACTTGAAGGTTGGGGTCCGAGCCGTGGTACAGCCACTAAGGGACTTGCTTTGTACGTGGCTGACCAGGGTTCTGCCCCAGCATCCCATATGGTTCCCCCAGCTCTACCACAAGCAATCCATGAGCACAGAGCTAGGAGTAGATCCTGAGCACAATGGAGTGAATCCCCCCCATCCTCAGCCCCCCCCCCCCCCAGAAGGACGGATCTTGGCTGTACATGAGATGCTTTGGACTTCACAGATCTAGTGCTTTAGCTGGTAGCTTCTGTGGGCCTGGGGCTGAGGGATTATGAATTGTCTACCCTGGGACTTTCTGGGGTTCCCTGAGCTGGTGAGCTGACACCTCTGCTTTAGGGTTATAAGGGAATCCTTTGTAAATAAGCCCTTTACTAAAATTAGGGGACTGGAAATGCAATGCCCCATCCCAGGCCACCCTCTAGAGATCTCACAATGGTGGGGGCTGGGGTGGCCTCCCTGCCTCAAGCCTAGCAGCTCCTTGGGGGAGGGGGTGTGGCCACAGGCCAGACAGCCTGCCCTAGGAGTCAACTTTCAGTTCTGAGGGGTGACCCCTGGAGGGCCCCAGGGTCAGACCTTCAAGCCACTGCTGCATGGGGCTTTGCCTGCAGGGGTCTCAGGCTGGGGGTGGGGGGCAAGCAAGCCTGCAAGCTGACCTTGGTCCAGTAGCCTGGGAAGCTGATCCCCAAGTGATCTTGGAGAGCCCAAGGCAGCAGACAAGCCATGGGGTGGGAGCAGAGGCCGGTGCCCCCTGGACTCCACAGTGGAGACTGGGAGCCTAAACAGGAGACCAGAACAGGTGGGACCCAGGGAGGCAGGAGGGGATTACATTGTATTAAAATGACTTGTTTATCTGGGGTACTACTAGGCCCATGCCCCCTGGGGGGCCTGGTCTCCAGGCTCCTGGGAACCCCTCCTCCTGCCCTCCACACTGGTGCCCTTCCTCATCCCCGCCCCCCCACATGCACACAATGGAAGCTCCCACCTGTGGCTGCAGGCGCTTTGGACAAACTACCCGGAAATGGAAAGAAGCCCTTCACCCCCCTCATCGCCTGCTTTCTCCCGGAGCCCGCAGACCCCCTCCCTTCCCTGCCCCCACCACCCCCACCAGGCGGGGTCCCCAGGACAAGTTGCCAAGGGTCTGGGGGAACATTCAACCTGTCGGTGAGTTTGGGCAGCTCACGCAAACCATCGACCGTTGAGTGGACCCCGAGGCCCGGAACTGCCGTCCACCTGTGGCGAACCCCCCACTTTCTTGGACCTGGGAGAGGTGGGGGGGGGAGGCCAGTCCCTCCCTCAGCGAAGGTCACAATCAACATTCATTGTTGTCGGTGGGTTGTGAGGACTGAGCAGACCCACCGAGGGATGAATGTCACTGTGGCTGCAACGGCACAGCATGGGGGGGTGCACCCCAGACCCATCCTGGGGTCCTGATGGACACAGGCTGGATTTGGGCCAGAGGGGCAGCTCTGGCTCTGCAAAAAGGAGAGGTGTGAATGAAAGTGTGGGCTGAAGGAGTGAATGAATAATGTGTTCTCTGCAATGCAAACCTGAGCCCCACTTTCCCACTGCTGGGGGGGGGGGCTGCTCTCACACTTGGTCCTGATATTAATCAGTTTGGCTTCTGGGCACACCCCACCTAGCCTTGGGGCACCCCTCTGTGTACTGGCAAGGGGCAGGGGGATGGAATCTTCCCACACCCCCCTTCCCTGAAAGAGGGGTTCACCAGACAATAGGTGTAAAAGACCCCACCTCAGGCCCTTGCCCTCTCAGCTGAGGCCCCCAGGCCCTGGCCCCTCCCCTCCCTGTCTTGGGGAGGAAGGAAGCAGTTACTAAGTTGCAGGCTCCTTTAGTGCTGGTCTGGGGGCTGAGTCAGCCAGCCTCCCCTCCACCCCATGGGGCAGGAAGGCCAGGCCTCCCACCAAGAAGGACAGACCTCTCAGGGCCATCTGGGGGGGTTAAAGCTTCCCAGGAACCTAGTGTCCTGTTGCCCAGCCCTGAGCTGTTGCCCCTGGCAGGTATAAGCCCCCCAGGGGCAATAGCTGTTTTGCAAGCCCCCCAGTGACAATTACGAACCTCCCACTGGCTGCTCCTCCCCAAGCCTCTGGGAGAGAGGAAGGAGGGAACTGACCCTCCAGACCGGTCTGGAGGTTGGGAGGAAGGTGAGCACCCGGTCCTCTCCTGCCTCTGCCCTGCTCGTCCCAGCCATGGGAACCTTCGATCTGTGGACTGACTACCTGGGCCTGGCCCGCTTGGTGGGTGCTCTGCGTGAGGAAGAAGAGCCCGAGGTCAGCCTGGCCCCCCAGCCAGAGCCCATCCCCGGGAATGGGCCTCCGAGGCCCTGCCCGGAGGCCTCCCCGGTACCTGAGCGCCTGTGTTCCTTCTGCAAACACAACGGCGAGTCCCGGGCCATCTACCAGTCGCATGTGCTCAAGGATGAGGCGGGCCGGGTGCTGTGCCCCATCCTCCGTGACTACGTGTGCCCCCAGTGCGGCGCCACCCGTGAGCGCGCCCACACCCGCCGCTTCTGCCCGCTCACCAGCCAGGGCTACACCTCCGTCTACAGCTACACCACCCGCAACTCTGCCGGGAAGAGGCTGGCACGGCCCGACAAAGCCCGGATGCAGGACGCGGGTCACCGCCGAGGAGGGGCAGCTGCCGGAGGTGAAGGTGATGTCGGTGGGCCCCACGGGTGACTTATGTGAAGCGGGGAGGAGAAACACGGTCACTTTCTCCCCACCCGCCTCTGCCACCCGGGACCCAGGGTTACTGGGTTCTTGTCTCACCTCGCAGAAAGGAGTTTCAGGAGTAGACAAGCAGTGAAACAGATAGATTTTATTTGGAGGATTTTTGGAGAGGGAGGGGCAGAGAGAGAGAGAGAGAGAGAGAGAGACGAAAGCATGAAAGTACACATCTCAAGAGGGGAGATGCGGGCGACACGTGCGCTCGGGCACCACATATGCTCAGCCACATGGGCTCAGGCAGTATATGTGCGCCCTTCCTTTGTTCAAGGTGGCCTTTATAGGGTTTCTCCAGCCTGCTCCCACGTGACGCTTCTTCCCAGGTAAAAGTCTGTTGCTAAGGAGGTTACCAGGGAGGTCCCAAAAAAGGAATTTCATGGGGAGGAGGCCTATATACTCAGGGTCTGCGATGGTCTTGGATGGTTTTATCAGGCCTTTGTTTTCTGTATCCACAAGGTGGGTCATTCCTAGAATTCTTCTTCCATGAAACTTTGTTTCATTGCAAAGGGCCTTTTCCTATCTACCTGCCTACATCAAATCCCCCCTAGAGATTCCACCACCTTGAATCTTTAAGGGAGAATGGCAGAAGGTCCATCTTCTGGAGCTGCTTCATGCTGACAATGGGGTGCTGGCCCTGCCTACACAGGGCGTGAAATCTCATGCTACTTCAGCTTTTTAGTGGTCCTCAGCAATGAATTGGTTGGGTTCCTGAAGTTATCTGAAAGAAAAGATCAGATCGATTAGACTGAGGGATATCACTTTGAAATGGTTAGACCCTTGGAGGAGTAGAAGGTCCTTCCTGACCTATTAAGGACAATGTTGTTTGCTGTCTTAAAAAACAAGAGTTAAAACAACAGAAACCAAAGCGACATAATGCCATACCCATATCTATCACTAAAATAATGGAAAGGAGTAACTCTACCCGCAGGTTTGGTTGATAGAAAAATGACTTCCTGTGTCCAGATTTTTCTACTGGACACAGAAACACCAAGCCATTCTCTGGCTTTCTCAGTACAGATAGGAAAAGCTTCTGCCCATACACTGAAGCTCTCAATGAGAACCAACAGGTATTTATACCTTGAACGTATGAGCATTTGATCATCTGCATAAGGTCAAGCTGCTGATCCTCCTCTAAGTTCCTTGATGCTGAACAGGTGTTAGGAGAGGAGGCTCAGGATTTCCTCTAGGTTCATTAATGGCACAGAAAGCACAGTTCTGAATTACTTCTACCTTACTTGCTGTTCAGTTCCTTTCCATGGAAGATGGTTTTCACTGGTGTTAAAGCATAACCCTTTAATAATATTCCACTGCATTGGTCCAGAAGTTAGCAACTTTCCTTGTTGGGTAAATCATCCACCAACTTCCTTTTGGAAACCTCCAATGTCCACTATGCCCACTGTTCTTCTTCTGCAGAACATTCTGGCTTAGAGGAAATACTCTCTGGTGTTAATCCCATGATGCAACAAAAATTAAGAGCTGTTTTCTCCAAACGACTGTTCACAGAAAATGAGATGCAATACAAAAAGTGTAGAAAGAAAATTCTACAGTATTTTAGAACTAGATATTAATCCATTCTAATTTAACCAGTTTAGATGCTCTTCTTGACACTTTGGCCAATTCACAGACTGGGGAAAGCAATTCTGTACTTTGAGATGAGCTTCACCCTAGTAAAGTTCTGGCTTCCAATGCTCTGATCAGACTAGAAACAGCATGTATAACATTGAGTTCCTTTATACATTAGGCTGTTTACCTACAGAGAGTAAACCAAGTTTTATCTAAATTTCCCAAAGAGGGGTACCTTTTTTTAGATCAAGATTAAATACATTTATTCAATCACCTCTGTAGAATTAGAATCTGATTCTTACAAAAAGCAAGTTGCAGAAACATGGGTTTCTCTCCACCTTCATTTTAAAACTTTGCAAGATAGTTCAACAAACCTGGCTTGTTCTTTTGCATAAACACAGTAAGATTAGAGAACTCTCCATTTGGGATACCCCATTATTTACTGAGAAGTCCTGGGGATCGGCTAAAGACAGGAGATACACCAATAATGGCATTAATCTGATTTGGCACGTCAGAGCTACCCAGGCCTGGCCAGAAGATGTCCCGCAATGAACTGAATGGATGGCCTCGAGCCTTCAGTTTGAACTGGATGTAGCTTTGGGCCTCATTTTCCACAGAGATGTCCTGGCAGAAAGGAGTCCATCCCATCCCTTCTTCAGGGCTGGGAGAAATCCTGGTTTCCAGGTTTTTCCTTGATGCTGAGAGTAGGCCCAGACTGAGTTAGTTATTACAGAGTCCTGGATTCCTCATTCTCCATAGCAGTGATGATTTCCAGTCTTTCCTTGAGCTGGCCTGCCTGTAGGGTCGCCCTGAGGTTTATAGGGTACATGAAACAGGGTAAAGGGTAAAGGCCCTCCCGTTGATCGTCGATTTGCTCGAGCGGGCCCAGTAACGTCTCCATTGGAGACTTTGTTGTTACTGTGTCTGGCATATCGAATACTCTCGGTAGCTTGCCGGGCTCTCCGAGAGGGGCGGAGGAATCGAACTCGAGTCGGCCATGTTGGCCGCTTGTAAGGCGAATGCCCTACCCACTGTGCTATCGCTCCAATACAGTACTTGTTAAATCCCTGCTCCTGTCATTTAGACAGATCCCCTGACTGTTCCCTGGAAGAGGACTTTGGGGTCCCATAGTTGGTTTTTCCTGTCTGCATGAGGGGTAGACCCTATTACAGAGAGGAAAGACTTATCTGGATTTATGCAAACCAACATAGTACCATGAAACATCAAAAAACATACTGAAGGTACAAAAGAAGAGAAAAGCAAGCATTTCGCTTTACTCACAGAGATGCAATACACCTGTTTGCTGTGGGTCCTAGTCAAAAGAAGCTAAAATCTGTAGAGATAAAGCATATCGTTAAGCATATATTTTCAAACCCATGTCAAAACCCTTGATTTCCTGCAACTTTTGAAAATTCAATTATTTTAAGAACACTGTAACAGGAGTCCAGATAATCCGTCCAGTATCTTTTCCATAGATCTTACCAAAAATTACTAGAACAATTCTGCATGTGATTTAAAGAGTTTCTTACAACAAAACAATTTGATCAGTTCCTTTTCTTAAAACAACCTCAAACCTTCTACACATTCCTTTACATTCATTCTGTAAAAATCAACTTCACTTTAACAGGATTCCTTTCCTTTTTCCCATTGATATCTCCATCCATTACTTTCTGACTTAAGATACATGTCTATATTCCTAATAGTCATCCCACAAGTTTAAACTCTTATTTTACTGAACTTAGTACAACATGATCTCCCAAGTTTGGACACTAGTTACCAATCATTTCATTTAACATGACAAAACTACTCTGCAGTACCATTTCAAAAGCATTACATCAGTTTCTATAGGTATTTAAAAGGCTTTAGAGATACTCCCAAAAGTTCTTACAACATATATTCACTGGGCAAAAGTTCACTTCACGTTAGAAATTAACCAAGAGACATCTTAGAATTCTGATTTCTAGGAAAACACAAATACAAAAAGATTAAAGCACTCATAGATTACCATAAAACAGAAAGGATTTCACACATTTCTCTGAAGGTCAGGACTAGGTTGATATCTGGTGACGAGGCTTGGCATGAAATAAAGTTATCATAATACTAGCGTGCATTTTCACATACTGGACAGGCTGATTAACAATACAGTTATTTCATACTTTCACCAAGGTGCAATGCTATAGCTTCAGACTATCAAGATGACATCTGAGATCACTCATAATTCTTTGCTAGTTACCTTTAGAAATTTTAGTTACCAAAAGTCTCAGAGATCAAATAAAATCACTGGTAGGATAAGTTTTGCAACCAACCTTATAACTCTAGAAACTCATATTTTAAAATAAACATGAACCTGTTTTTATGTACATTATTTCAACTCACAAGATTTTCTAGGTCAAATATTCTAATCCAATGCAGATACAGATATGTACATTGATATAACAGCATAAAACCTTTGAACCGCCAATTAATATAAAACATGATAAAACCCTCTTTGGCTTAATTTCAATAGTTCTTGTCCCTTAGTTATTTCAATCATAAGCTTTCTACACCAGATACTTTTACCAATTCCACAAGAATACAAACATACTTTCAGACACAGAAAAAGCCCTTTAGTTTTTACCAAACTTTGATATTAGCATAGAAAAAAGCACTTGGACTGTCAATGTTTATGGTAACATAAGAGAACTATTTATTAATATGAGGAAACTTTATTTTAGTAGTTTATGTGCCTCTGTTGTTTGTAAAACAGCTAAATTCCTCATTACAATTGGCTGAGGCTTGTAAGATAAAGCCTTGCATTCTCTGAACTTTATTTCACTTTAGTTTCAGGCTCTAGTTCCACAGCTCTTCTAGATAGTACAGATTCTTAAGTTCAAAAGGATTTCAACTGTTACTAATCATTAACGTTCTTCTAATAAGAAATCTAGATTGAGAATTCTGCTTTCTCTGTAGGCTCAACCTTCTGATAAGAAATCTTCTTTTTAAACCTCATCTGGCAAGTTCCAAAAACAACTGCATTCCTTCAATCACTGAGTTGCATATCACTGACTTCTCTAGAATTTCTACTTCTGATTTCAACCTGGTTCCAGCACTCGAGTGTTCCACACAGACAGACAGACAATGAACTGACTGAAAGACCACCACACGTACATGTACACACATCTGCAATTGATCGATCGATCTGACCCTTCAAAAATGGCAGGGAGAAAACTGATGGACTGAGAAAGGAAGGGCAGTCCCCAGGGCAAAGAAGCTCTGTCGCCAGTTGGGAACACTGCTTCCCGTTTCCCAGCCTAACCAGACAGTCTCCTGTTTGTTAAAAAAATGGGTCAAGAAAGCGCTTTTGTTGATATAAGCGAGCAAAATAAACTATGACAAAGCAGTTGAAACCTAAGGTTGTCAGATGTTACCATATTTTGATCAAGGCTAGTTCTGAGGCAGGGAGCTGGTCTCTTCTTATCAGACATGGGGATAGACTGCATTAGTGACACTTTTTTGTTTCTGATGTCAAACAATTAATCATATGATCTTGCATTTTTCCTGCCTCCTCTGCTTTGATAATCCTATTTCTTTTATTACCTGCAAAGATCTAACTGCAAAATGATCTGGTAATGCAAACTGCCATTCACTGGCCATCTTTCCCCAAGTTCTAGCTTATACTCAGGCCACGTGGTGTTAGAGGTCAACAAGACGTTTCTTATTTAAGCTATCTAGCTGCAGACTTTTCCGGTGTTTTAACAAGCAACCCAAAGGAGAATATTTAGGTACTGATGTAGAATTTCCCGTATCTCCTAAGTGTCAGCAATAACCTATGAAAGGGAGGGAAAAGAAAAATCTAGGGTAGGATAACTCCTTAGCAAGCTCTCCTCCTAATAGTTCCTAGTGTTGTGGTTCTAGAGAGAGTGCGGACACAACCACAACTGCATGCCGGCCCATGGTGTTGTGGTTCTAGAGAGAGCGTGGACATGACCACAACTGCATGCCGGCCCATCAGAAAAATCTCTCAAGAAAGGACGTCTCCTTTAGAGATTTCTGACTCACCCCAGGCGTCCCTGGGGCCTGCCTCGCGAGCGTCCACACGACCATGGCTTGCACGTGTGGAGCCATACCTAGAGTGCCATGGGTTTCCAAGAAGCCTATTAAGGGGAGAAGAGAAAGGTTCTGCCTTTCTTAGCTTGCCACATATTCCAATGCTCCCTGCTGACTTGCTTTCTTCCACAAACTTCTTGCCTGTCTTTTTATCTCTTTTTTTTTCTCTGCCTTACTTTGCTTAGAGCTAAACCTGCTGACTGCCTCCATTGGCATTTGAATTGACCTCTAGCTGATTCTGCTGAGACTGCTTGGGAAAAGGAATTTCTACCTAGAAATTGATCTGCCTTAGTTTCCCAGGATCTTCTCACTAGTGGGCTTTCCTCTCATTCCTCCCATTGTGGACGGTGACGCGAGACAAAGGAGGGGTGCCTCTTTGCAGAGACCATTCAGATGCTTGCCTGGCCGGTGGAGAACTTAGCCTTAGTGGTTCAGTGTTGTGACTTGCAACCGGCAGCTATGCCAGTGCCACCACTGACTGTATGTTCTCCGTGGAATCACAGGCATCCCACTCGAGCTCCGTGACTTTAGAGGGACTTTAAGAGTGCCAGATCGTGGAGCTACAAAATCACGCCCAATAGGAGGACCTATCGAGGTGCTCATACACACACACATTCACACAGAGGTTATCACATTCCTTCCCCGTCCCCCCTAGAGATTTCCAAGGGAGCATACCTCCACAGCAGATTTTCCACAGATTACCTCCTTCCTCGTGGATTTCTTCACTGCATCTGTCCCTTCGTGGTCGCCATCTGATGTCGGTGGGCCCCACGGGTGACTTATGTGAAGCGGGGAGGAGAAACACGGTCACTTTCACTCCACCCGCCTCTGCCACCCGGGACCTAGGGTTACTGGGTTCTTGTCTCGCCTCGCAGAAAGGAATTTCAGGAGTAGACAAGCAGTGAAACAGATAGATTTTATTTAGAGGATTTTTGGAGAGGGAGGGGCAGAGAGAGAGAGAGAGAGAGAGACGAAAGCATGAAAGTACACATCTCAAGAGGGGAGATGCGGGCGACACGTGCGCTCGGGCACCACATATGCTCAGCCACATGGGCTCAGGCAGTATATGTGCGCCCTTCCTTTGTTCAAGGTGACCTTTATAGGGTTTCTCCAGCCTGCCCCCACGTGAAGCTTTTTCCCAGGTAAAAGTCTGTTGCTAAGGAGGTTACCAGGGAGGTCCAAAAAGAGGAATTTCATGGGGAGGAGGCCTATATCCTCAGGGTCTGCGAATGGTCCTGGATGGTTTTATCAGGCCTTTGTTTTCTGTATCCACAAGATGGGTCATTCCTAGAATTCTTCCATGAAACTTTGTTTCATTGCAAAGGGCCTTTCCCTATCTACCTGCCTACATCAAAGGTACCTGTCAGGTGGATGGGTGGGGGGGCCACGCCTGTGTGTGTGTGTGTGTGTGTGTGTGTGTGTGTGTGTGTGTGTGTGTGTGGATCCTTGCCCCTGGGGAGTTAGCTGGGGAACAGCCGCAGCAGGGAGGCCCTGGGGCTCTGCCCGGATGGGGAATCCCCTGACAAGCCCCCCAGGGCACCCTGGAGCTATATGGCGTGAGGAAGCCTTTTAGTGCCCAGCTTTCACTTTTGTCAGATTGTTTCTGTGCCTGTTCAGCTCTGGCTGAGCAGCAGCAGTCAAATGCAAGGTGATGGGCACGGATGGGGGAGGTAGGGGACCCCAGGTGGCTTCCTGGCAGCCTCGTTCTGTTTCGTGCAAGGTTGTGAGGGTACACCAGGGTGCATGTGCGCTGGTTGTGGGTGCTGCAAGGTTTGGGGTGAGCACAAGATCCAGGCTCTGCGTCTCTTTCCCAGTTTGGCATGCGGGGAGTGTCCAAACCAGCTCAGCTGCTGTTAAGGACTAATGAGACAGCCCGATGGGATCCCCCAGAGAGAAGGTCCAGGAGCCTGGGGAGACACTGCGGGGTGCTGTGGAGCTTGGGGTGTGTGGATCAGCTTTGGGGCCTCTCTCTGCCTCTCTGGATCATCCCAATCTCGCTAATCAAATGCAGGTTCCGGCTGGGGCTAGAGCAAGTCTGGGGTCCCCCATGCCCTGCGGGTGAGCAGGCTTGGGGTTGTTACTAGCCATGCAGACTTGTGCTCTCCTGGGCTGTAGCCCCCTTCATGGCAGGGCCATGTGCCTGCTCTCCGTCTGGGCGGGGTCCAGACCCCACACCACACTGGGAGCACCGGGTAGGAGGGATCCCTCTCTGTAGATCCTTTAAGTTGCACTGTGAATATTTGTTGAAACAGACTCTGAAGACAGTGCTCCCTGTGGGGTTGGATGAGAAACTTCCCCCAGCATGAAGATTATAAGGGGGGGAGGGGGAAATCCCTGTTCTTAGTGCCAGAGAAAAACAATATCTGTTGCCCCCCCCCATCAAGAAGGAGGAGGGCTAGGCACCTGTTTAAGCTTGGCTCAGAAAGACTACCTGACAGCATTTTGGGTGTCACAAATTTGGGGTCCTCCTTGCCAGAGTACAGCAGATATGGAGACCAGGGTTCCATCCACAGCACACCAAATTGCACCCACTTCCCCACCCCAGCCTGCCCTGCCAGAAGGGATTCCTGAGTGTGGAGCCAGGAGTAACCCCTGAGCACCATTGGGTGTGGCCAAAAAGGCAAAAAGAAAATTCGGGGTCCTCAGGCCTTGTGGCTGGCTAGGCAGGGTGGGCGCCTCTTCCTGAATTCTAGCCTTGGGTTGAGCGCGGACTGGGTCGGGGGCGCTGTTCCAGCAGCAGCCTGCAGGCGGCGCGAGAGCCCAGCAGGTGGCGGCGTCCCGGGGCGGCACCTGGGCAGGGGGTTCTCGGTGGTTCTCTCACTGTTTCTTTCTGTTCTGCTCCCCCTCCCCCTCCCACGCAGGTCCCCGAGGAGCCGGCAAGCCTTCTGGACATCCTGGACCCTCTTCCTGCTGTCCCTCCACTTCCACCTAGGAGGCCGCGGCGGAGAGCCGGGGCTGCCACCTTGGCTGGGGCAGGGGGCTCCAGGCTTGCTGGAGGCTGGGTTTCTGGGACCTGCCCCCCTCCTCGGCCCTCTGCCTGGGGGTCTGGGGAGGGATGGGGTGACCGGCAGAGTCTGTGGGAGGGGAGCTGTGGTCCTCAGACAGCTGGAACTTCCTTAGCCCAGGGCATTCTCCACATGCTCAATAAATACTTACAATGGATTCACATAGACTGACAGTGGGTTTGGGATGAGGTCGTGGGAACAGCTTGGTGGGCAGGGGGCGGGCTGAGCTCTGACCCCACCGATTCCTACTTTCTGATATCCCCTCAATTGCTGCTTTTGTTTTGAATTCAGGGGACCCTGTGGTGCAGTGGGTTGGACCTGGGGCTCCAGCCTCCTTGTTCACTTAGAGCCTCCCCTCAGCCCTCTCCACCCCCCATTGCTGTTTTGATTTTGGGTCCCCTGGGGTGCTGTTGGGAGGTTCCCTGTGATTGTTTCTCCCACCTTGGGGGACACACAGTCTCCCTAGCACCCCCTACGCTGACACTTGATTTGGAAAGAGGGTCTGATTTTGTGGGGGGCAGTGTCAAGAGAATGAATGTTACCTCCTCTCTGCAGCCGTGTTCAGCCAAGGCCATCACCCAGTGTCTGGGGCAGGAGTGGGCGATGGGGTGTGAATCCTGTTTGGGAGGACACTGCTTGGGACAACCCTCACCCCGTCTGCCTCCTGCGCTCCAGATCTTGTTCTCCCAGCCTGGCCTGTGGGGCCAGTGCTGAGCTTTTCTTCAGACTGGGAACCGCAGGGTACCCTCAGACCATGGGGTCCCCAGGGCGTGAAGGATCTCTTTGGCCGCAGTGAGCTATGGGGCAGACACACAAATTTTGTCTGTGAAAGGCGGTTGGCCTATGCACCCCTCCCCCACCACACCACTCTGCACTGAAGGCAAAGGTGCCTGTGAACTTGGGGACCCGTCGCCTAGTCTCGTGGGCTTCCTGTGGCCGCAGATACTGCTTGGGCTGTTCCAGGCAGCTGAGAAGGAAGAGCTGGGACTTCTCACACCCCAAACTGAGGCTGCATCCTTGGGGGATCATTTTATTGATGGTCATCCAGGAGACAAAGGGGCGGTCCTCCAAGGGGCCCTTTTCTCCCTCTTCCAGGAAAGCCAGCTCCCTTGCACGGAAAGCCATTCAGGACAGATGCCCAGGGGCAGAGGTCACCTGGGAGAGTCAGACCCGGGGGTGCACAGGGCCCAGAGGGATTGTTCCCAGCATCCCTGCAGAAACATGTGGCCCACAGACTTTCTGAGGCTGTGCCCTGGGGTGCACGTGCGTGGTTTCCCCTGACCAGAAACGCCTATAGGTCTTCCCGCCAGGAAGGCCCCCGAGGAGGGCGGGTCCCGGGGGTCACAGGCTTCCCCTTGCGTTGGCGGAGCCGCCTGCAGGCCTCCAGGTCGCGGTGGGTGCTCATGACCAGCCGGCTGTGGGAGCACACACCTGTAAGCTGGGTCCTACAGGCCCCTTCCCACCTCCAACCCCTACCCTGGGGCTGGCCCTTACTTGAGGTTAGAGAGCTCGAGCACCAGGCCCCGCACCATGTCTGTGGCATCCTCCACACTGGCGGCTTGGTGGGCTGGAGCCGCCACCTGGGACCTGGCACAAGGTGGGTAAGGATGAGCCTGAGCATGCCGCATGCAGCACCTCAACCCGGCATCGCCAGGCAAGGCCACCCCATCTTGATCATGATAGAGGGGCCTGCAGGATTCCCACCCTCCTGCCAGGCCCCCTCCACTCACATAGCGGGGTGCTGAAGAGTGGGAATCTTCCCTATGAGGCCCCGTGCTCGTCTCGCCTCCCCTCCCTGCTCTGCCACACTGAAGCCCGGACCTCCCTGGGTACTTCTTGGGACACTGGAATGTTCTTTGTCAAATGACAAAGGTGTCCCTGACTCCTCCAGTTACCATGTTCCCTTCCTTTCCCCCAGCGCCTCACCCTGGCTGGTCTGCCTGGCTCTCCCCAGAAGACGTGTCTCCCCACAGGGCTCCCAGGGTCCCTTCAGGAGCTTTTCTGGAAGCAGTAGCACTGCAGGTCACTGTGGGAAGCCCAGCTCCTCCCTCACCTGCACCTCCAAAGGACCTGCCTTCCCCCTCCCCCCTTTCGGGACCTCCAGCAGACCCAAGGCCCCCGGGAGCCCCACTCAACACACACAGCTGGGGCAGAGGTGCTGACACCCAGCAGCCGCTGGTCCTTGCGCAGGGCTTGTGTGTGTCTGTGGGTACCATGTGTGTGTCTGTAGATGTGTGTGTTGGTGCGGGTATGTGTGTGTGTGTCTGTAGATGTGGGAGGCTGTGTTGGTGCAGGTATGTGTGTGTCTATAGATGTGTTTGGGTGTGGGAGTGTTGGTGTGGCTGTTTATGTGTGTAGGTATGTTGTGCGGGTATGTGTATGTGTCTGTAGATGTATTTGGGTGTGGAAGTGTTGGTGCGGGTATGTTTATGTGTGTAGATGTGTGTAGGTATGTTGGTGCGGGTATATGTGTGTATCTGTAGATGTGTTTGGGTGTGGGAGTGTTGGTGTGGGTATATGTGTGTGTCTGTAGATGTGTGTGGGATGGCTGTGTTGTTGTGGGATGTGTCTGTGGAATGTGTTTGTGGGATGTGTGTGGGTGTCTGCTGGGGGTGTTTTCGTGTGTGGATGTATGTTAGTGTGGGCTTGTCAGTATGTGGCACAGAGCAGGAGTTGGGGAGATCACCTGGCCCAGAGCCCTGTCCTCAACCTCCTGTGCCCTGGATGGACAGAAACAAAGGGCCCTAAATAATTGATCAGGGGCTCCCCAGGGACGGGTCAGTGTGGGTAACAGGAGAGGCTGTCTTGGCTGGGATGACCCCAAGAGCCCCAGGTCAGGCTGTTAGGGCTGTCCAGCCCCCACTCCTTGGAGATCCTGGGTTGCTCCTGGGCTGCTCCAGGGAACGGTGGTCCACCAGCCCCGACTTGAGGGCTGGGACAGATGCTCTGAGACAGGGCTGTGACCCCTGCCGGACAGAGGGAAGTCAGATGGTGCAGACCCGTTCACGGCACACAGTGGTCTTTTCCCTCGCTGCTGTGGGCAGAGAGTCTGGGGCAGGGGTGAAGGGTGGCTGCAGGGTCCTGTCCAGTAAAGCAGGGATGCCCTTACCTTGGAAGGGCTGGAACGTGGTGGCCTTCCTCTGCCTGCTGGCCTGGGCTCAGCCCACTCCACAGGGAGAGCTGCAGAGAGAGTGAAGTGAACTCCTGGCCACCTGCAGAGCCTCGCCAGGGCCTGCACCCCAACAGGCTGGTCAGCGCCAGCTGGGGGTCCTGGCCTTGTCGTCTGTCCCTGAGGGCAGAGACACATCCAGAATAGAAAGGACGCCTCTTGGTGGTGAGGGCACTGTGAGCATCTACCACTGGGAAGGTCTGGCCAGCACCGTCATGACTGCTCTCCTTCCTGGAGGATAGCCCCCACCCTGTAACCTTCCTGTATCCCCTGCTGCAGCCGATAGTGAGAGGTATGCACAGTTTCCAGTGGTCATTGCCCACTGGACTTTCTGGAACCTTTCCCTGGGAACTTGCATGTGTGCTGGTCGCCTTGACTTTTTCAGGAATACCCAGTATCAAAACAAAACGCATCTGCTCAGGGTGCAGCCAGGACCACGCCTCCGCCCTGTCAGGGCCCTGGCCCCGCGCCCGCTCTTGCTGTGAAGCTGTGCTGGGATGGAGGCACTGGATATCACCCACTGTCCCCACCCCACGGGGCTGTGTGTCACATCCGTGCTTTCCTGGGGCAGTCACTGCCCTCAGGGAGTGGAGGGGACCAGACTGGCACCTGGAGCTGCAACTGCCTTCAGGTGAGCAGCCAAGGTGGGACTGGCACCTTTAGCATCTCCCAGAAACCCTCCTGCCATGTCTCCCTTTGAGAAAGGCTCCATGGGGCTGGGCTTGCTCTTCAAACCCAAGTTCTCCTATGAGCACGTTTCTCACTTGCTTCTTGCTTGCCTGTTTCTTTCCTTGCCTGTTTCCACTCTGGAGAAGCCTGTGTGCTCTTTTTTCCTTCCCCTTTCCAGGTCACACCAGGCAATGCTCAGGTGGCAGTGTCTGGGAGACCATATGGGATGCCAGGTATTGAACCCAGGTCGGCTGCACACAAGGCAAATGCCCTACCACTGTATTATCGCTCCTTGTCCCACCTATGTGTTTTTTGTTTTTGTTTTTTTTTTTTTTTGCTTTTTGGGTCACACCCGGCGATGCACAGACAGGGGTTACTCCTGGCTCTGCACTCAGGAATTACTCCTGGTGGAGCTCGGGGGACCATATGGGATGCTGGGAATTGAACCTGGGCCGGCCACATGCAAGGCAAACGCCCTACCCACTGTGCTATCGCTCCAGCTCCCTGCCTGTGTGCTCTTAAATGAAAACCAATTCTCTCTTTTTCACCCCTTACATCTTTCTAAATGAAGTTTCATTGAAAACTCTTGCTTCACCATAAAGAAAAAAAATGAAACAGGCCCTGTCAGGCTGGAGAGATGGCACAGAGGGCTGTGTTGGCATTGCTCTATCCTGAGCACTGCAGGGTGTGGCCTAAAAACAAAAAGAAAAAGGCCAGTCTCCAGGTCCCCTAAAGCCATGTAAAGGTGGATGAGGGCCAAAGTTTCCTTCCTGAAGCAGGGAGTGAGGACCTTCCCACCGGCCTAGCTGGAGGTCACTGGCCTCTTCAGGTCACCCCGATATGTGCAGATCTCAAGCCTACCCCCAGGAACCTGAGCCAGGGTACACAGTGCAGGGTGGTAGGGTAGCTCACCCTGGGAGCTCCATCCATTCTAATTGGGGTCCTCAGTGCCTCCTGGTCAGGCCCCTCAGGGCCTGTACCTTCCCAAAAACCCATTATACCCCCTAAAACTGCCACTTCAAAAAAAACTACTATCCCCCGGTCCATTCTCAGGGGAAAAGAAGTCCATGCACCCACCCTCACTCCTGGGACCATATGGCAACCTTCTTACCTGATCAGGGGGTGTCGGGTCAGGGGCGACCAGGGAATCCTGGATCTGGCTGTCCAGCAGGAAGTCAAGCTCTAGGGCGGAAGAACCGCCCCAGTCAGCCTCCTCTGCTGGGTCAGCGGGCTGCTCAGGCTGGCCTGCAGGGCTGCAGGAAGGCACACCCTCCACATCCTGAGGTGCTGGGGGGTTGAGCTGACACACTGAGCTCTGGCTGGAGCAACAAAGCTCTCCTGGGGGCTGGGAAAGCAAATTTGGGGGTACCCCATCCCCCAGCGCCTCTGGCATCTGTGTGTGAGCACCCCTGGGGTGTGCCTCTGGGGCCAGGTGGCTAGAAAGTTCTGCAGCCACAGTGGGGTCTTGGATGGTGGGAGCCAGGACATGGGAAGCTGCTTCCCGCCCCGGGATAATATAGGGAATCTCGTCTTCTCCTCTTGGCTCCCCTCTTCTAGCCACCGTCTCTCCAGGAAGAGGTGCACAACACTCCAGAAGGGGTAGGACCCCTCTGTGATCGTCCCCTGGGGCCCCTGAATCCGGCTGTCTGTTCTTCCCAGCCCCCTCTACGGCCCTCTGCTCTGGCTCCTCGAGGTCTGTGCTCTCATCTGTGATGACAAGGGACCCAGAGGGGGCACATAGGGCACCCTGACTGCTCTGACATGCTCCCCTGCCAGGCCCACCAGGGGAGTTCTCGGGCGGATCAACGGCTGTAGACTGGGGCTCTGGGTATGTGCCTTGGTCAGGCAGTTCAGTGTCGCCTCCCCCATGGGTCACCCCTGGGTCTGGGCAGTGACCAGCGTCGCTGCTGGGCAGGTGACCTTCCAGGCCAGGCCCACTCTCTGCAGCAGCGCCATCTGGAGGGCAGCTCCCAGATGCCGAGACTTGACTCTCTGAAGCACAGGGTATAGACCCCCATTCAGGAGGGGTGCCAGGGGGAACTGCTGGTGGAGGGTCCTCCTTGCCAGGGCTCTGGCCGCTGTGCTGTGGGCAGATGCCCTCGGCCTGGGTCGGCTCCGGCTGGGCTTCCTGTGAGACATACATTCTCAGGTTCAGGGACTGACCAGTAGTTCTTCCCAGGTCCCTGCTCCCCCCAGGCGCTGATGCGCAGGGACAGCAAGAAGAATGGGTCCACGAACCATGCCAGGAATAAGGGGGATCTTCCTGGCCCCGGCAGCATTGGGCACCTGAACCCCAAACTCCAGGGGCTGGAGCAATAGCAAAGCAGGTAGGACATTTGCCTTGTATGCAGCCAACCGGGCTCGATTCCCAGCATCCCATATGATCCCCTGAGCACCACCACCAGCAGTAATTCCTGAGTGCATGAGCCAGGAGTAACCCCGGTGCATCTCCAGGTGTGACCCAAAAAGCAAAAGAAGCAAAAAAAAAAAAGAAAAGAACCCCAAACTCCGGTCAGAGATGGCAGAAGGTTTAGAGTGTGTGCTCTGCATCTGGCCAACCTGGCATCCATCCCTGTACCATATAGACAGGGTCCCCCGGGTACCACCGGGAACCACTCCTGAGCACAGAGTCAGGAATAGTCCCTCGCACCCCAGGTGTGGACCACCTCCCAATCCAAATATCTAAGGAGCACGCAGTGGCCCATAGCCGAGAGCTGGTGAGCTATAAGCACAAGAGTAGGTGCAGTGCTGGACAGCACCTCTTGACCTCCCTGTGCTGGGGTATCTTATTTGGGTGTGGGGTTGGGGCACATTCAGCAGTGCTGAGGGCTTACTCCTGTCTGCTCTGGGACCCTCCTGGCAGAGCTTGGAGGCCCTATGTGATATGTGGAGCAGACAGGGGTAAGTGCTTTAACCTCATACTATCCCCCCAGTCCACATCTTGGCTTTATCAATTGCAGTAAAACATACAAAGCAGAGAATTTCTCTCCTTTTGTTTTTGGTGGGGGGGATATTGGAAAGGGAGGGTGATGCTTCCAAAACAGTGTTCAGGGAGCCTGTAGGCCACTCCCAGGCTGGACAGTACAGTTTAATGCTCAGGGCCAGCAGTGTTGGGGTGGGGATGCAGTGTCTGGTCACACACATAGATGGCAAATATTCCAGCCTTTTAACCTCTCTCCCCAGTTCTCCTTCACTCCTGCCAGAATCATTATACCCATGAAGCTCAATGTCAAGGACAAGAGAACATGTTCTAAGATACCCTTCCAAGCCCCTCAATTCACTTGAAAGTTTGGAGAATCAAAGAGGTTTGGGGGTTGGGGGGTATGGGGCAGCCCTTCTCCGCCTGAGTTCTCTTTCACAGCCTGGCTGGAAGGGCTCTTCACGGGCCTGCTCCAGCACCCATAGGCCTGAGTGGCACAGTGGGCAGAGGGCAGGAGGAGCCTCGGCCAAAGAGAACCAAGGTTCAGCTCAGCTCAGTGGGGCTCAGCCTGGTAGGTTCTCAGAGCTTACTGAGCAAACGGCCTGGGTCTGGAGCTCCTCCTCTGACTCCACTTGTCTTGGTGCTGTCTTCCTGGACCTGGCAAACTGCGGGACGAACCTCCCAGCAGAGGTCTGTGAAACAGACATGGTAGAGAAAAACAAGAGAGAGAAGTGAGGACTCAGGAAATAACCACACAGACCAGATTGCACACGAACATGCACACACACACACACACACACACACACACACACACACACACACACACACATGCTCACTGAACTACTGGTCAGTCCCTGGGAAGGAGGAATGGCAGCTGGTTCCTTCTGTGGCAGCTGGTCAGGCCTGGTTGACAAGGTTGCTTCCTCCTCATCAGGGGAGCTGAGTGGAGAAAATTTAGATAAGGAACATGCATGCACACACACACATAGAATCCAGTGTTTAGATTTTTTCTTTTTTTGGTTTTTGGGCCACACCTGGCAGTGCTCAGGGCTTACTCCTGACTCTGTGCTCAGTGATCTTTCCTAATGGAGCTTGAGGAACCCTGTGTGATACAGGGGATCAAACCTAGGTCATCTTGTGTGCAAGCCAAGGGCTTTCTTCCATGTCCTAGCTCAATTCGAAGGAAAAGTAGAGTTGAGCATCTCTCCTGTAAGTGGGGCACTAATGCCCTGGCTTAGGGCAGGAAGGAGGGGGACTCCAGCAATACAAAGAGTGATTCCTGAGCACAGAGCCAAGAGTAAACTCTGAGCACCACTGGGTGTTGCCTAACCCCCTAACCCCCATCCCCCCCAACAAAATAAAGAACAAAGACTAAAACAGGAGGAATATGAGGGCCTGAGAGACAGAGCAAGCCTCACACGATATCCAAGTCTAACCCCAAAACTACAGAGCATGAGCACTGCAGGTTAGGTGGCCACCAGGACTTGGTGGCCCTCAGTCTGAAGCACCCAACTACTATCTGGCCATGCTTCAGGCAGTGGCTCCCCAGGCCCCCTAAGCACTGCTTGGGAGGCCCCCCTTAAAAAACTGTCACTGTCTTCCCATTGTTCATCAATCGGCTCGAGCGGGCCCAGTAACGTCTCCATTGTGAGACTTGTTACTGTGTTTGGCATATCGAATATGTCACAGGTAGCTTGCTAGGCTTTGCTGTGCAGGCGAGATACTCTCGGTAGCTTGCCGGGCTCTCTAAGAGGGGCGGAGGAATCGAACCTGGGTCAGCCAGGTCAGCCGCGCACAAGGCAAACACCCTATGCACTGTGCTATCACTCCAACCCCCCTAAAAAAAATGACCCCCCTAAAAAAAGTGAAAATAAAAGGGGCTTGTGATGCACGTGCCTAGTATGAATGAGGCCCTGAGTTTGACCACCACATGGCCTCTCCAACTCCAAACTTCATCAGGAAGAAACCAAATGAGCTCAGCCGGGTATGGCCCAGGGCATGGCCCTCACCCCAAAGAAAGAAAAGGCATGAGAGATGAGCAGTAAGGGGACATCAAACTGCAGCATCTAACAAGGTGGCTTGGAAAGTAAGGTTTCCCGCCGGCATCTCAGGAAAGGAATATGCAGGAGGTGTGGACAGGTGCCACCCCAGAGTCCTGAGCCCACCAGGTGATGGCTAACATGCCTGGTCACGTTGCTCCTCCTCGTTTTGTGCCCTGCCTTCTGGCCTGTTGCACTATGTTTACCAGAAGGTTCTGCACCGCCTACCTGGGGGCCACCAGCTCTGGGTCTGCCCTGCTGCATTGGGCAGACAGTACTTCTGGGTCACTGGACTCTTCCGGAGGATGAGAAGGAGGAAACTGGCTCAGCTGGGAACTTGGGGACCCCTCGTCAGTGTCTTCCAGTCTTGGAGTCTTGGGGGGTTTGGTTCGGACTCCTGGTTCAGACACAAAGGAAGAGGGGATGGACACACTCTGCAAAGTCACCTCTGCCACGAGAACTGGCTAATCTCCAAGGCAGGAAGCCCCAGCCCTGGCATGTACAAGAACAGCAGGAGCACTGGAGCCTGGCCTGGGGAGACCCTGACCATAGTGTCCTGGGCACATTCCACAGAGCATCCTGGTCCCCTGGGTTAGGGGGGTGTGCCCAGTCCTGTGGATCTCAGCTTAGAGGGCCTGTCCCTCATTTCTCTTCAGGCCCCAGCTATTTTTTTTTTCTGAGGGGGAGATGGGTCAAGTTTGGGCCACATCTGGCATTACTCAGGGGCTATTCTTGGCTCTGTGCTCAGGAGTAGGGCCCAGGAGACCCTATGTGGTGCTGGGGATCAAACTGGGATTCATTCACATGCTAAGCAAATGCCTTAACCCCTGTGCTATATCTTGGGCACCATGTGAAGTTTTTTTTTTTCTTTTTGGGTTACACCGGGTGATACTCACACGTTACTCCTGGCTCTGCACTCAGGAATTACTACTAGCAGTGTTTGGGTGACCATATGGGGTGCTAGGGATCAAACCTGGTCAGCCACATGCAAGGCAAATGCCCTACCCGCTGTATTATTCCTCTGGCCCCCATGTGGGGTTATTAAGAAAAAAAGTATATTAGTCAGGACCCTGCTTTGGGGGAATCTAGGAAGGGCAACTGAGGTTTAAATTGAGAGAGCAGATGTCCGAAGGTAATATTATCTGGAGTCAATTAACTCCCAAGTTACAAAAGTATGTCTTTTTAACTGTCTTCCTGTGTCCATACAGGGCAGGGTTGGAGAGAGTGCAGTGGGTAGGGCATTTGCCTTCCATACAGCTGATCTCACTTCAATCTCCAGTACCTGAGCACGGAGCCAGGTGTTAGCCCTGAGCACTACGGGGTGGGGGTAGCCCCAAAATAAAAAGGCAAAAATGCCAACAGAAGAGAAGCATCTTCCATTTCCTTCCTGGGCTGTGTTTCACAGGCCTCAGTGAAGGGAAACAAAGCAGAAGCTGGTTTGGACGCCAAAGACAAAAAATAAATAAATAAATAAAAAGCCTGGGGAGGCTCCAAGGCCTCTTTTACCACCTGCCAGCAATGGCTTCCTCTCTCCAATCGTGTCCAGAACACACAAAAACGGCTGTCCTAGGTCCTGAGCTTGAGCATCCACTTCCAAAAGAGGCCCCAGTGGCTCACCATGGGCGGGCCTGGCAATCTGCAGCTTCCTCCCCAGGGTCTGAGCATCTGTCAGAGCTCATCTGCACATGGAACCTTTTGAACCTACTCATTTCTCTTCCACAGGGAGAGCGGTGTGTGTGGTGGGAATGAGAACTTTCCCCGGGCTCAGCCTTTCTAAACTGAACAAACGGCGTTTGCCTCTGAGATTCTCTTTCCCAATAAAATCACTCTGGGTGGGCTGGGGATGAGGAGAAAGGTGGAGGATAGTCAGAGATTGCATGGGCAGAGAGGCGCTTGCCTGACATTCAGCCCATCACTGCTTGGTGTGGCCCCAAAATCCAACCCCCATGGACGAGCTGGAGCAATTAGTACGGTGGGGAGGACGTGCATCTTTCTCGGCTTCAATCCCCCACATCCCATATGGTCCCCTGAGCAATTTCAAGAGTAATTCCTGATTGCAGGGCCAGGAGTAATCCCTTATATCACTGGATGTGGCCCAAAATTAAAAAAAAAAATCCAAATCCCCTCCAAAACACACACAAACCCACTCTGTGAGGACAAGGCTTAGAAGAAGCAGTACACTGAAGACCAGTCCTGATTTTTTTTTTTTTTGTATTTTGGGCCCACAGCTGCCAGTGCTCAAGGCTCACTCAGATACTTGAAGGGGCAGTACAGTCGGATAAGGGGTAATCAGTCCCACCACCTGCACCTTTGAACCTCCTGCTGTGACCCTCCTTGGTAAGAAGAGGTGCAGTTTAGAGTACCTGAGGGATACATGCAGGCATACCTGAGGGGTGCAATTTCTTCCTCTTGCTCATTGTGCCCTTCCCTTGAGAAACCTGCAAAGACACGTGCGTGAGGTCCTATCTGAAGTGGGTCCCTGTGGTGGGGGTACCCCCACCCTCTGGCCTTGGCTCAGGGTGGATGCACCCCTCCCCAACCCTGCAGCTGGGTTGGGGGACCCCATATACCTTGGGCCTCTCAGGTTGACGTTCCCACCTCAGCCCTTTCCCCACCACCCCAAGGCACTGGCTCCCGGTCATTCCAAATTTGGGGCTACCCGAGTGAAACCTCTCCCACAGACGGGGCACTTCAGGGGATGCCAGGGCCCCTGTAGGGGGTTGCCTCGGGTATTGGAGAGGCAGAATCTTTCTGACCTTGGGGGTGACACAGGCCCAAACCGACCTGGTTGGAGGAAGCAGTCCGGGTCCCTCTATCCTGAAATGGAACTGGGGAGACCCCTTGGGGCAAGGGGATTGGGGGGCTGTGTAAAAAGCGGGCTTGTGTGAAAATTCTCTGCGGGAGAAAAAAATAGCCAACGGGAAAAATTGGGCCCTCAAGGAGGCGGGCGGTGGCGCCGCAGCGCTCGGTCCCTCTCTGACTGGACAGCGGCCACTGACTAGTGAGGCCGGCCCGAAGCCCGCTGCGCCCGCGCGACGCCGCCCCTCACACCTGCCCTCGCGCCGCCTCTTTCCCGCGCTCGGCCGGGCCCGGCTGTGCGCACGCGCAACTCCGGCCCCGCCCGCCCCGCCCCTTTCCCGCGCTGCCCGCGACGCCGCCTGCTTGGCCTCCAGCGCGCATGCGTCCTCGCGCGCTGCTTGCCGGGAAATGTAGTTTCGGCGCGGCGGGCCCGGCAAGTCCCGGTGCCGAGGTTCGGTGCGGCGCCTCCTGAGGGCCCGGTCGGTAGGGGACCGTCCACCCTGATAGGGACGAGGGCGCGGCGTCGCCGGCCGCAGGGTGTCGAGGAAAGGCGCCGAGCTGCGGAACGGCGCGTGCGCGGCCAGAGGCCCTGGGGGTGGGAGAGGGGGCAGAGGCAGGGCCTGGCCGGGAGAGGGGGCGGGTGATCCAGACACCCAGCCGGGAAGATGCACAAGAGGAAGGGACCTTCCGGACCCCCGGGCCGGGGCGCCGCAGCTGCCCACCAGGTGAGTTTGTGTCCCTCGGTTCCGCCCAGAGAACCTCCGCACCCCTGTCACCCTCGCTGGACCGGCCCCACCCCCTACCCTCCGGCCTCGTCCCCGCCCCCAGGTAAGCCCCAGATCCAGGTGAGGCCTGACCCACCCTCCCGAAGTGGCACTCTTGGCTCTGGTCTCCCAGTTCCCGGAGCCCCGCCCCGGGCTCGGGGACACCTGTTGCCCTGAGCAGCTGCAGTCCGGGAGGGAAAGGCCTGGAACCCGAGGTCTGGTCCTGAGCCGCCGTCAGCAGGCCGGGGAGATGGACGGACTCTAACCATTGTACAGAGAGGGACACTAAGGCCAGGAGAGATAGAAGCACCTCCAAGGTCACGGGGATTTACAGCTTAGCATTGCTGAGTGCAGATCCGGAGCTAGCCCCCAGCCCCTTTTCCCAGCCCAACCCTCTGCCCCTGGTCTGCCTGATTTTTTTTATTTCTTTGGTTTTTATTTTTGAGCCACACCCGGTGGTGCTCGGGAATTACTCCCAGCGGTACTCAGGGGATCCTATGGGGTGCCGGGGATTGAACCCAAGTAGGCCGCGGGCAAGGTCAGCAGCCTTCCCACCGTCTCCAGCCCAGTGAGCAACCAGGTGGCATTAAATCCCAGTCCACTGGAAATGCCCAGCACAGTGGGTGTGGGCCCAGCCGTAAGCCTGTTACCTCATCTGTGGAAATGGCGAGGCAGCATGGGAGAATGGTGGAAGTCGCTGGTGCCCGAGGCTCACCTGCCATCATCATGTGACCATGGTTATGCTGACGGGCCTGTGGTTGCCCATATTTGACCTTTTTGATGGTGGGGGGTGGGATCACACCCTGTGCTGCTCAGGACCCACTTCTGGCTCATTGCTCCGGGCCCAATCCTCGCGGTGTTTAGGGGGTTCTGTATGGTGCCAGGGATGGAAACCAGGTCAGCTGCATTCACAGAAGGAAGCATCTTTCCCCCCACACCATCTCTCTGTCCCACGTAGGTCTTTTTTTTTTTTTTTTGCATCACACCCAGCGATGCTCAGGGGTTACTCCTGGCTCTGCACTCAGGAACTACTCCCTTGCGGTGCTCAGGGGACCCAGTGGGATGCTGGGAATCGAACCTGGGTCGGCCGCATGCAAGGCAAATGCCCTACCCGCTGTACTATTGCTCCAGTGGCATCTAATGCTCTCCGATCCACCTGCCACCTAAAGCCGGGATTGCGGATTGATGGGGGAGAGGAGGGAGAGGAAGGGAAGATGGGTGGGCCCTGCAGCAAGGCCCCTGGTCCCCGCCAGCACCCCCTTATTCTCCAGACATTCTTTCCTGCCCCTCTGCGGAGAGTGCCAGGAGCAGAAGCCACAGCCCCTGTCTCAGGGTGAATTTGCCTAGGGGATGGCATTCCCCGGGCAGCCCCACACTCACCTGGGCAGGTCTGGCATCCAGAGTCCTGCCCTTTGTCCCCGAGGCTCTGGGGCAGAGAGCCTGGCCCAGCTCGAGACATCTGCTGTTCCCAGTCTCAGAGCTCTGAGGTACCGTGTTTCCTACAGCTGGGCCTCCTGATGGGCCTGTCCCCAGATGGTCTGATGATTCCTGAGGATGGAGTCAATGATGAGGAGCTGGAGGCCGAGTTCTTGGCTTTGGTGGGGGGCCAGCCTCAAGCCCTGGAGAAGCTGAAAGGCAAAGGTGAGGCCCCCCTCTCCTCCCCAGTCCCACCTATACACACATGCTCCCTCTGAGTTACAGAAGACTCAGGGAAGAGGGGAGGCCTCGGGCCTGAACCTAGAAGAAGGGTCTTCGTGCAGCCCCACCCCTTCCTGGTTGACTTGGCTGAGGCTGGGGGAGGTACAAAGCCCCAGAGAGAGCCCTTGAGCAGGAAGTAAGGGACTTGGAGTGGAAGCCAGCAGGCACAGTGGGTGTGAGTCAGGTGGAGACTTGGGGAGCATGTCCAAAAGTCCCGGGGTAGAAGGCAGGGAACAGGGGACTCTGCTCTGGCCCATGGGGCTGGAGCCCAGGGACAGTGGGAGGTTCTGCTTTTTTTTCGGGGGGGTCACACCCAGCAATGCACAGGGGTTACTCCTGGCTTTGCACTTGCTCAGGGGACCATATGGGATGCTGGGAATCGAATCTGGGTCGGCTGCGTGCAAGGCAAACGCCCTACCCGCTGTACTATATCACTCCAGCCCCTGGAGGTTCTGCTTTTGAACTGAGGCTGCCTCGCTCACTCCTGACACATTCCATGTTTGCAACTCAGCTGCAGAGAAAGTCTATTTTGGTTGCTTATTTTTGTTTTTGGGGCCATACCCGGCAATGCTCAAAGTTACTTCTGGCTCTGCACATCAAGAATTACTCCTGGGGGCTGGAGAGATAGCACAGCAGGTAGGGCATTTGCCTTGCATGTGGCCAACCTGAGTTCGATTCCCAGCATCTATTATGGTCCCTTGAGCACCGCCAGGAGTAACTCCTGAGTGCAGATCCAGGAGTGACCCCTGTGCATCGTCAGGTGTGACCCAAAAAGCAAAATAAATAAATAAATAAATAAAAAGAATTACTCCTGGTGATGTTTAGGGGTGCCAGGGATCGAACCCAGGTAGGCCATATGCAAGGGAAGCACCTTACCCGAAGTACTATCTCTCTAGCCCCCCCTTTATAGTTTTAATTTTTGGGATCACACATAGTGTTCCTGGAGCGAGCATATGCCATTGGGCTACACTAGCACGTGACAGGGACAAATGGAGATGTTACTGGCGCCTGCTTGAGCAAATTGATGAGCAATGGGATGATAAGTGATATAAGTGAAGTGATACACCTGGTGTTGCTCAGGGCTTCCTCCTGGTTCTGCACTCAGGGATCACTTCGGTGGGACTCAGAGGACCTTATGGGATGCTGGGGAGATAACCCAGATCAGCTGAGTGCAAGGCAAACCCCTTACCCGCTGTGTTATCACTCCGGCCCCCAAAAACATTCTTTTAAGCCCCCCACGCTATCCTTCAAGAACTTTCTAATTTTTTTTTTCATTTTTGACAATTTGGGTCACACCTGGTAATGCACTCAGGGATTACTCCTGGTGGTGCTGGGGGGACCATATGAGATGCTGGGAATCGAATCTGGGTCGTCCAGGGTGCAAGGGAAACACCCTACCTACTGTAGTATTGCTCCAGGCCCCCCTCTGTTTACTTTATTCTCACTGAGAGACCAGCCAGATAAAAACCATCCCGGGAAGTGAATCCCTCACCAAGATCTTCACCTTTGCCCTCGGCCTTCACTTGGAACCTGGCCAGGCTGGGGAAGGAGTGGGTCATGCCCCTCCCATGTGCCCCCACCGGTCCCCAAGTGTGTGTGGCTGGGAGCCCCGGGGGCCCCGCCTGCAGCTTGGGCCTCCCCTCCACCCCAGGCCCCCTGCCCATGGAGGCCATTGAGAAGATGGCCAGCTTGTGCATGCGGGACGAGGATGGGGACGAGGACACCGATGAGGATGTGGAGGCTGACGACGATCTGCTCGTGAGTGCCCAGGAGTCGGGGGTAGTGGGGGGGCCCGGGTGCGGTGCCATTGCTCCCGCCCACAGGCCCTCACCCCTCACTGCCCGTAGGCTGAGCTCAATGAGGTCCTCGGGGAGGAGCAGAAGGCTGTGCAGCCGCAGCCCCCAGGCACCCAGGTAAGACCCGGATCTTAGGTCTGCCCCCTACAACCTGGGTTCCTGGCCCCTCCCTTGGCCCTTAGCCCTGCCCCCTGCAAATAAGCCCCACCAGAGCAGGCCACACCCCACCAATGGGCCATGCCCCACAAGCAAGCCAGGCCCATGCCAGGCCATGTCCATAGAGGCCGCAGCCCTGATAGACCACCTGGTCCTGCTTCCCTGCATCTCATCCCCGCAGTCACCTCTGCATGACAGTTCCTCTGTGTGTGTGTGTGTGTGTGTGTGTGTGTGTGTGTGTGTGTGTGACTGTTTTGGGGGATACTGGCTCAGGGGTCACCATCCAGACCATGCGCCCTTTCCTTCCCGTAGCCCAGCCTCACAGCTCCCAGTCCGGGCCTGGAGGCCACCCTTCAGGAGAGGCTGGGCCTCTACCAGATGGCCGCAGAGAGTGCCAGGCAAGTTGGGGACGGCGCCAAGATGCGCCGCTATGACCGTGGCCTGAAGGTGAGCCAGCCGCTGGGAGCCCTGGGCTTCCATCTCTCCCACGCCATCCCCCCACCCCATTTTTCTGAAAGCCACATTCCCGCCTTCTCCCAGACGCTGGAGAACCTGCTGGCTTCCGTGCGGAAGGGCAAGCCCATTGACGAAGAGGACATCCCACCACCGGTGGCAGTGGGGAAGGGCCCTGCCAGCACGCCCAGCCACACCCCGGCACCTGGGCCACCTGTCTCGGAACCCCGGGTCTCCGTGGAGGCACCTCTGCCCACTGCCCCCGCCGCATCCCTGGCCCCCACGAAAGCCCCAGGTGTGCTGAGGAGGGATTCCCAGCCCATGATGGTGTATTAGGGTGATGGCCGGGGTCTCACACCAAAGCACCTGCCACCCATCTCAGAAATGACGAAGGTGGAGGAGGCTTCCCTGGGCACCAAAGGGAAATAAGACCAGAGGGACTGAGCAGTAGCACAGCAGGCAGGGAGCCTGGCACGTGGCTGATGCAGGTTTAATCCTCAGTACCCCATAGATCCCTTCCAGGAGTGATCCCTGAGCACAGATCCAGGTGTCATCCCTGAGCATTGCCAGGTGTGGCAACCACCCCCCCCCAAAAAAAAAACCCCAGAAGTGATAAGTGGTTTATTGACGAGAATTCACTGCTTAGATTAATAGAAAAGGAGAAACAAAAATGTTACAAAGGGGGTGGCTCAGGGCCATGGGGCCCACCAAGCCCAGAAGAAAGTGAGCAGGTGTGTACGCAGGTGCCTGCAGCCCCGGGCCCCTGGAGCAGCTGCGGAGCCGACAGCATGAGTACAAGCTGGCCGCCCTCCACGCCAAGCAGCAGGGCGACATGGCGGCCGCCACCAGGTTCTTCCGCATGGCCAAGGTGTGTGCAGACTGGCGGGTGGGGGGGCGGCCATTGTGGGCAGGGGCCCCCCTTTCCCAGCACCTGCTTGGTTGTTGCTGGGTTTATCGCCTCTATGAAGTGGGTTGGAAGGGGTCTTGGCTCCCCACAACCGCCACCTCTCTGCTTCCCTCAGAGCTTTGATGCTGTCTTGGAGGCCTTGAGCCGCGGAGAGCCTGTGAACTTGTCTGGTCTGCCCCCTCCCCCTGGTAAGGACCCCCACGCGCACCTGTCTGCTCTCCAGGGCGGCAGGAAGTCTCTGCCCTGTTCTTTTTTGGGTTGTGGAGACCCTTCCCCACCCGTCCAGCCTGGGGATGAAGAGGGCTGTTGGGTTTGCCTCTCATGGCCATTGCACCTCTCTGCCCCCCAGACCAGCTGTCCCCCGACCCACCATCCTCACCCCCGCAGCCTCCAGCTCCCCCCAACACGCCCTCCACTCCAGGTAAGCCCCTCTACTCTGGAGCCCCACCTACGGGCCCTCCCCCTTTTCCAGACTGAACCCTTCCCTCGCCCCCCTGCCCTGCCTAGAGGTGCCCCCAGCCCCGCGAACTCTGCTGGAGGCTCTGGAGCAGCGGATGGAGCGGTACCGACTGGCCGCGACCCAGGCCAAGACCAAAGGAGACCAGCGGAAGGCCCGCATGCATGAGCGAATCGTCAAGGTGTGCGGGTGCGGGGCAGTGCGGGAGTAATCACCCCCCCAGACCTGGCCTGGGTGGTCCTAACTCTGGTGACCTCCCACAGCAATACCAAGATGCCATCCGTGCCCACAAAGCTGGACGAGCAGTAGACGTGGCAGAGCTGCCGGTGCCTCCCGGTAGGCCCCACCCATGCCCGGGGTTGATCACACCCTTGCTGGCCACGCCCACCCCATAGCCACGCCCCAGAAGGCCCGCCCACCCCTGTTGGCCCCATCCCAAGCACCCCGCCTGTGCCCTCACAGCCATGGCTTCGGGTGACTTCCTGCCTGATCTGACCTTCCACCCGTCCAGGCTTTCCCCCCATCCAGGGCCTCGAGGCAGCAGAGTCTGCACAGCCCAGCCTAGTGGGTGTCCTGGAGACAGCCATGAAGCTGGCCAGCCAGGACGATGGACCGGAGGATGAAGAGGACGAAGACCTCAAGAAGGTGTGACACCCTGGAGCCTGCGCGGGGAACTCCGCACCCTCCTGGCCTTGAGCCGCAAAGACTCTGTGTCACTTCCCTGTCTCCTGGTTCCCCCGTCCTGTGTTTTGATCCCTGCACCACCACAACTGAGATTATTTCTCCCAGCACTGGATCTATTGGGTGGCCCTGTTCGCACTGAAGGGTTGTGGGAGGTACGCCTCCCCTGAGGGGAGGTCGGGGGGTCACTCTGGCCCCACACCCTTCTTCATTATTCTATGGGGGAGGGGCTCTTGCAGGCCAAGTGTGTGCCAACTCCCCCCCCTTCTCTCCCTGCAGCCCAACAGCCCACTGGCTCCCTCCGCCCAGTCCAAGGCCCCAGCCCCGAGGGCCCCCCAGGCCGGATCCGCCCCAACAGCCAAAGCAGCCCCCAAAGGCACATCCACCAGAGGTAGGTGCACCCCGGCCCCCACTCCTGCACCGGACCGCGGCCACTCCAGCAGCTGCCCTGTGCCCGCAGCCCAGCAGCAGTTGGCCTTCCTGGAGAACCGCAAGAAGCAGCTCCTGCAGGCCGCCCTGCGGGCCAAGCAGAAGAACGATGTGGAGGGCGCCAAGATGCACCTGCGCCAGGCCAAGGGGCTGGATCCCATGCTGGAGGCCTCGCGCAACGGGCTGCCCGTGGACATCGCCAAGGTGAGGCGCCCCTGCTTTTGTCCCCTAGTCAGCCTCCAGGTGCAGGTGCTGTGTCATTTCACCCCTCACCCCACCCCGAAATGGGAAAACAGTGGTGGAGCAAGACCACTTGTTCTGAAAGATTCTGGACCTGGGAGAGCCTGGCATGTGGACAGCCTTTGACTTCTGTCCCAGCACTAGCACAGGTGGTCCCGTACAAAATAAATACATTAGGAGTTGGAGCGATAGTCGAGCAAGGATGGCGTTTGCCTGCACATGGCACACCCGGGTTCAATCTCCAACATCCCTGCTCCTCGCCCTGAGTGCAGAGCTAGTAGTCAGCCCTGAGCACCGCCAGGTGTGGCCCCGGAACAAGAAAATTCAGGCTGTGTTTCTTGTGACGTGTGCCCCCTGAAAACTCAGCCGGCCACGACCCCGATTCCTTTCCTCCAATGACCCTGCCTGCCACTCGGGGTGGGTGCCAGGGGAGGGAGAGCACTGGGCAAGTGGCCTTGTTTGGGGACCGTGACAGAGGACGTGTAGTCTGCTGGGCATCCTGGGCCAGCCAGAACCCCTGACTGCAGGGCAGAAGGGCCCAGGGGCTCCATTTCCCTCACCTCGACCCCCCTTCGCTCCCCCAGGTGCCTCCCGCCCCGGTCAACAAGGACGATTTCGCCCTGGTCCAGCGGCCCGGCCCGGGGCTGTCTCAGGAGTCGGCCCGGCGCTACGGGGAGCTCACCAAGCTCATCAGGCAGCAGCATGAGGTCCGTGTCGATGGCGGTCCTCTCTAGACCTGCTTGGGGCTTGGGCCAGCCCCCCCTCGCCCCCAAAAGGCCCCCTCACTGGCCCCATCTCCCCTCAGATGTGCCTGAATCACTCCAACCAGTTCACGCAGCTGGGCAACATCGTGGAAACCAGCAAGTAAACACTGTCCCCCCGGCCCCTCAGCCCCTGCACCGCCCCCGCCCCGTCACCCCACGCCTGGGGTCTGAGCAGGGGCCCCCGCCGCCTGTCCCCGGCAGGTTTGAGAAACTGGCCGAGGACTGCAAGCGCAGCATGGACAGCCTGAAGCAGGCCTTTGCCCGGGGCCTACCCACGCCCACCGCCCGCTTCGAGCAGAGGACCATGAGCTTCATCAAGTGAGGCCTGGACGCTGCCGTTGGGGACTGCACACCCCCATAAGGGTGCAGGGTGGGGGTGCCCGCAGGCCCCGGCTGAGGTCACAGTGTCTCTCTCCCCCAAGGATCTTTCCCGACCTCAGCGCTAATGACATGCTCCTGTTCATCGTGAGGGGCACCAGTCTGCCCACGCCGCCAGGTGAGCACCAGCGGGCAGGGGCGGGCAGGCCTCGCCTAGTGGCTCTGACCCTCCCTCTGCCCCCACAGGGCTGTCCCCCGGTGACCTGGACGTCTTCATTCGCTTTGATTTCCCCTACCCCAATGTGGTAGGTGGAGTGAGCGGCGTGGGAGGGTTCCCGGGGGGTCCCCATCTTTGAGCACCTCAACCTCCTCCCTGCACTATCCTTTGCAGGAAGAGGCCCAGAAAGACAAGACCGGCGTGATCAAGGGCACAGATTCCCCAGGTAAGCCCCTGTCCTGGGTAGAAGGAGAAGTACAACCCCCCCTCCCCGCACGCAGGTCCCAACCCCGCCGACCTCATCCCCACACGCCCCCTCCTCCTGGCAGAGTTCAAGGAACAGTTCAAACTGTGCATCAGCCGCGGCCACCGCGGCTTCCGCCGGGCCATCCAGACCAAAGGCATCAAGTTCGAAGTGGTGCACAAGGGGTGAGCAGAGGCGTGTGGGGGCCCTGTGGGGGGTGGTGGGTGGGGACGGGGTGCCACCTGCTTGGGATGGGAAAGTTGCCACCGCGCCCCCTCCATCCTGCCCCCAACTTCTCACACCCACAGGGGCCTGTTCAAGACAGACCGGGTCCTGGGCACCGCGCAGCTCAAGCTGGATTCGCTGGAGTCGGCATGCGAGGTCCGGGAGATCCTGGAGGTGCGAGGCCACAACTCCTGCTCTCTGGGCGGGGGCGGGGCCCTCTGCTCGCCCCCCACACCCGGACGCCCCCAGCAGCTTGCACACTGTGACCAGTGCAGACCTGGACCGGGGGCGGGGTGGGTGGTGGCGCTGGCACATGCATTTCATTTCAGTTTTGCTGTTTTAGTTTTGGGGCCACACCTGGAGGTCCTCAGGGCTTACTCCTGGCTCTGCATGGTGGGGCTCCGGGAACCCTATGCGGTGGCTGGGATGGAACCCCAGTCGGCCGCGAGCAAAGCAAATGCCCTCCCCGTTGGACTATGGCTTGGGCCCCGGCTTGTGCTTTTAAAAACACATTCCCACACAAACCTGCCCTGCTTGGCTAGGATCAGAATAGCCCAGAACAGGCATGTTTCATAGTTGTGGCATGCGTGTGTGTGTGTGTGTGTGTGTGTGTGGTGGGGTGTTAAGCCCCTTTGGGAGTCTGACATACAACTGGGTATCTTGTGGGGGATATCGCTTCTTGCACTAGATGTGACAGGATTCACTAGGAGGGCTGCCCAGATCCTGCTGGGGCACATGCGGCTCACCCGGCCGGTTGGGGCTGGCATCTTGCCGTAGACTCGCTGAGCAAGCGCTCTGAACACCTCAGTCCCATTGAAGCCCAGACCCCGGGTACTTCTAGCCCTCCTACCCGATTCCCAGCAGCCCTGACACTTGCCATCCCCCTGCCAGGTCCTGGATGGTCGCAGACCCACGGGAGGGCGGCTGGAGGTCATGGTGCGGATCCGGGAGCCTCTGACCTCTCAGCAGCTGGAGACAGTGACTGAGAGGTGGCTGGTCATTGACCCTGGGCCCCGGGCCATGCCCACAGTAAGACTCTTGCCTGCCTGCAGTGCCAGGGTGGGGTGGGTAGTGCTGATTCATGGCACCAAGACTCACCAAACCTGTTCTGTCCTCTGAAGCAGGTGGCTGGGCCCAAAGGGAAGGCGCCTCTGGTGCCAGCCCCTGCCAGGGAGCCAGGGAACAGGTAAGTGGCAGAGTTAGGCTGAGTGTCAGGGAGAAGTCCCTTTTTCCCAAGACAGCCCTCCCCAGTGCTTTTCACGAGGCACACACTGGAGCAAGCCCTTCCCCTGCTTTCCTGCCCCTCTTCAGAGGATCCAGTTTGTACTCCATGACTTGATCCTTAAGACCACTCATGATCTGACCATTGTCCATACTGTAGCTCACTTTCCTCATCCAGCTCCTTCTCGCTGAACTTTGCCCAGTTTTGTCTGGTCCCAGGGCCACTCCGTGTCATGATGTCCTAAGCACTAACAGCCCCACACTTGCTCTCTGCATGCTCCTCTCCCCACCTGATTCCCTTGAGTTCCAAGTCACACTCCTCCAGGAAGTCCTTCCTGATCACTAACCTCCAAGCTGCCTGGCTGCACTCCCACGCACTCCCTAGTGCTCCCAGTGTGTCTGTGGAATTGACAGGGTGGGGAATGATGACAGGGTGGGTCCATGTGCCCTTTCACCCTCCCCCCGCCCCCCTGCAGATCCTCCCGGCCCCTGCATAGTCTCAGTGTGCTGGCCTTTGACCTGGAGCGTCTGGAGCGGAAGGTGGGTGTTTGCTCCTCTGAGTTGCAGGGTGGGCTGAGGTGGGACTCATGGGCTGAGGGTCGTCTCGCTGATCTCTGTGCACCCCCAGATCCTGGCACTCAGGCAGGCTCACCGACCGGTACCCCCAGAAGTGGCACAGCAGTACCAGGACATTGTGCAGCGAAGCCAGTGGCAGAGGGCACAGCTGGAGCAGGGGGGCCCGGCCATACGGCGTGGTAGGGCCCGGAGTGGTGGTGGGCATGCAGGGGGCGGGGCTAGAGGGGAGGGGCGGCGTGTGGGCGTGGCTAGGCCGGGAGTGGCAGGTGGAGGGTGGGCTTTGCTGGGGTGGGGCGGTGCCATGGCCCATCCTGATCCCCTCCCTGCTGCGCCCCCTCCCTAGAGTATGTGGCCCACTTGGAGAGGCAGCTCCAGTTCTACACCGAGGCTGCCCGGCGTCTGGGCAATGACGGCAGCAGGGTGAGCCGGGAGGGGGCCAGGCTCATATTCGGGATGGGTGGGGGGCGGGAAGGGGCTAGGAGCGGCCTGCTGAGCACCCCCATTGCCTCGTCCCGCAGGAGGCCGCAAAGGAGGCACTCTACAGGCGGAACCTGGTGGAGAGCGAGGTAAGCAGCTGGGGTGGGTGTTCTATGGGAGAGTCGGGGAAGGTGGAGGCTGTGGCCCTGAATCCCCTCTGACGCGTGTGGCTCCGCCTCCAGCTGCAGCGGCTGCGCAGGTGAGCGCCCCCTGCCGGCGGGCCATCAGGGAGCAAGGCCCGAAGCCCTGGTACCCGGAGGAGCCGCCTGCTGTCCCTCGTGCAGACAATCAGCGGATGGCCACCTGAGGGCTCCCCTGACCCCGCGGGGCCATCCCTGCCGGCACTTGCCCCTGGCCAGGCTCTGGCAGGTGGGCCCCATCCTCCAGAGTCCCGTTTGCACAGTCTGGGGGCTTGGGGCTCCTGGCTCGCCCGGAGGTGGGAGGACGGCTGGGCCCCAGCCTCTAGGGCCCCTGCGCACTTTACTTCCTCTCCCTGCCTTAACCCCGTACCCACCCGCACCCCAAAGATGCCACTGAGGCCTGCTAGAGGCCCCCCTCACAATGTGCTCCCCCGGGGACAGCCCTAGCAGAGCTAGACCAGCCCCTCCAGCGGGCCCCCACAAATAAACAGCAAGGACTATGCCCAGTGTTGTGTGTTTCCTGACAGGCCTCCAGCCCCCTACAGCCACATTGGGGTGCGAGGAAACCAGCTTGCCAGGGTGGTCGTGTTTGACACCAAGCTTCCCTGCATTTGTCCCCAGGGTCGGCAGCCTTAGGCAGGAGGGATTTCCCCCCCAGACACACACACACACACACACACACACACGTGTTTCCGGGTCACCCTGGACTGTTCCTGGAGACCCAGATTCACCCATAATCAGCCCTGCTGTTCACCGATCCTAGGACCCCAGCCAGTCTGGAGACAATCTGGAGCTCCTTCAGTTTCCAAAGCCCGTTTCCAGTCCCCATGCCCTGCTGTGCCTAGCTGGCGTGCGCATAAGGACACACCTGATTGGTGGAAGACTAATAAGGAGTTACTTTATTGGCTGCTGCTCTCTCAGGGGCGGGAATAGTGGTGGGCGGGGCGTTTCAGGCTCCTCCCCCACAAGTGAGCGTGGTCCAGTCGGCCAGGCTGTGGGTGGACGCTGTTCCTCAGGCTCCCTGACTCAGCTGGCCATCCCGCCAGCCACCAGGACCCCTGTCCTGGGTCGTCGCGGGCCTGGGGGCGGCAGCCGCACCAAGACCTGCTCAGGGTTCCCCGATGTGTCCACCAGGCGCAGGTGCAGGAGGTCCAGGAAGGTCTCGGGGGCAACGCTCGTCCTGTGGAGCAGGTTGTCCCTGGACCAAGAGGCAAGGTAGAGGGGGGCATTAGGGTGGAGCCCCTCCCCAGGCCCCTTACCCGGCCCGCAGCACCCCTGGCGGGCACCTGAGCAAGAGCAAGCGCAGTCGGGGTGTGCCCAGGAAGGCGTGGGCGCCCACTTGGCGGATGCGGTTGCCCTGCAGGTGCAGCTCCTCCAGGGCCTCAGGCAGGTCAGGGGGCACGAAGGACAGAGCATTGTGGCTGAGGTCCAGGACCTGGGGGGGGGGGGGGGAGTGAGGAGAAACAGCAGCGTGGGGGTCTGAACTTGGTGCTCCCACCTCCCCTGCTCCCTTGTTCACTGGGCAATGAGGCCTCAGATGAGGACCTGAGTTAGGGCGTGGGTCACACAGAGTCCATCTCGCCCCATCACGAACTGGTCCCTCCTCTGGCCCCCTAACTACCATGTGCGTGCCCCAAACCTTGCCTGGCACCCCTGGCACCCGGGGAGACCCCGAAATCAGAGCAAGAGCTACACACAGGGTTGCAGCTGGGGGTGCCGGGGAGAACCCAGGGAGAGGGGCAAAGGTCTGGGGGCCACTAGCTGGGGGCAGCGCTGGACCTGATGAAGCCGGGATGGAGGGCACCTGGGAGTAGCCAGCCGGACCCTGACCTGGAGGGCCTGAAGCTCGTTCCAGGTGCCCGGTCCGATGTCACCCACCCGCAGCCCGTTGTGCGCCAGGCTGAGCTCCCGCAGCCGGGCCAGGCCGGCCAGGGGCTCAGGCTCCAGCGCGCGCAGCTGGTTGCGCTGCAGCCGCAGGCGGAGGAGGCCGGCGGGCAGCCCCGCGGGCAGCCGCGTCAGCTTATTGCCGGTCAGGTCGAGGCTGCGCAGGGCGCGCAGGCGGCAGAAGGCGCGCGGGTGCACGCGGGCGCTGGCCAAGAGGTTGTAGGCCAGGCTGAGCTCCTCCAGGCCCCGCACGGCGGCCAGATCGCGGGCGCCCAGCGCTGCCACGCGGTTGTGGGGCAGCATCAGGACGCGCAGGCGGCGGGGCAGCCGGGCCGGCACACGCTCCAGCCCATTGCCATAGAGGTGGAGCGTGTGCAGCTCCCGCAGCGGCCGCAGAGCCCCGGCCGGCAGCCCCGCCACCCCCAGGGGGTTGTGCTGCAAGAGGAGGTAGCGCAGGCCGCGGGCCTCGCGCAGCCGCGCTGCCTCCACGTGGCCAATATGGTTCCGGCCCAGGTGCAGGAGGAGTAGGGTGGGGGGCAGGCCCGCCGGCACCGCTGTCAGTTGGTTGTGGGACAGATCCAGGTACTCCAGCCGGCACAGCTTGCTGGGGGGAAAGGGGAGTGGAGACCGCTGGAGTGTCCCACCAAGGCAGGGGCTGCAGAGTCCCTGCCCAGAACCCTGCCTTGCCCTGCCCGCAGGGGTCCACCTGAAGGCAGTGGCATCCAGGCCATTGTTCGTGAGCTTGTTGTGCTGCAGATGCAGCTCTCGGAGCTTCGTCTGCAGGCTCAGTGCTCCTCGGGGCACCTTGGCGATCAGGTTGTCCTGGCAAGGGGGAGAGAAGACCCCCAGAATTGGGGAGCCTGAGCCCCCACTCTAGAGTGGGAGGGTCGCAGAGGGTGGGGGGGTGGGGGCCGCACCTGCAGATGGAGCCCCTCCAGCGAGGGCGGCAAGCTGGGTGGCACATAGTGCAGCCGGTTACTGGACAAGCTGAGTGTGGTGAGGAGCGGGGAGCCCTGGAAGGCATCGGCAGGCAGCCCCTCGTTGCTCAGCTGGTTGTTGTGCAGGTACACGGACCTGCAAGGAGCCGGACTTCGCACCTGCCCTGGGCTGCCCGAGGCTCTGCGCTCTCCCACACATGCCTGATTCGGCACTTGGGCGGGTACTGTGGGTATGTGTGCATGCGGGTGAATGTTCAAGTGCATGTGTGTGCAGGTGTGGGAACATGTGCCTGTATGTCATGTGTACATCACTCCGCTCTACATGCAGTGTTGTGTAAACATGTGTATGAATGTGCAGTGTGCATGTGTGTGGTGTGAGTAATGAGTGCGAGTGCACATGAGTGTGACATGTGAGTGTGTATGGCCCATGTGAACACGTGCATGCTACCTGTGTGGGCTGGCACGTGCGTATGTGTGCTGTGGTAGGCATGTATATGTGCATTCCTGGGTGTTGCCATGTGCACATGTGCACATGTGTGGCTGCGCATGTGGGTGCTGCATCACCCAAAACTCTCCCTTCACCCCCCAGCATCTGTCCCCGCCCGGTGTGGACCCCTCTGGCCCAGCCCAGGCCCCGTTACCTGAGCTCGGGCTTCTGCCCAAAGGTGAGTGGGAAGATTTCTGTCACCTGGTTGGCAGCCAGGTCGGCCACGCGGAGGGAGGTGGGCAGGAACTGGGGCGCCATGGACAGCTGCCGGAGCAAGGCCATGCTGTTCCTGGGGGCGCTGCACCCTCACCCTTGAGGCTTCAAGGTAGGGCGGGGGCAGGGAGGGATGGGCTCACCCTGTTGTGTGCCAAGTAGAGGTGCTGCAGCTGGTTGAGGGACTCAAATGCCTCGTCGGGCAGGCCTGGGGGGGGCAGTGTGGGGACAGCGTTGCCTGGGGATTCGTGGCTGGGAAATGGCAGGGGCAGGGGGAGCACATCCTCCACCCCCAGACCGCAGTGTGAGTTTTCCACCGAGCTCAGCAGAAGGCCCTGCTGGGAAGTACCGCGGTGGGGGCCAGGGGGCGCCTCACCCTCCGAGGAGAGGAGATTGTTGTGTAGGCTGAGGGTTCTCAGGCCGCTGAGGCGGGACAGCTCGTTGTAGGGGAGCTCCTGGAGTTGGTTGTTCTGGGGGTGCCGGGGAGCTTAGCCCAAACACTGCATCCCCTAATTCTCCACCCTCCACCCTGTCACCCCCACTCAGGACACCACGTGCTCCATGCCAAGGTGTGGGCCAGCATCCCTGCTGACTCCGCCGTGTCAACTTATAGCACCCCCCCTTCCGACCGGAGGACCCCAACCCTTACAGTGTTCCACTGGCATCAGTGCTGAGAGCCAAAGGGCCCAGACCTCAGCCCTGCAAACCCCCACCCTGGCTCCCCAGGCCCCCACACCCCAGCCCTGCCAGCCCCCACCTGTAGCGCGAGGTGCTGTGCCTTCTTGCTGATGTTGGAGGGGAACACCCTCAGCCCCAGGCCCCCACAATCCACCATGTCGAAGCGGAGACAGGAGCAGCGAGGGGGGCAGGCCCAGGGCAGGGGGCGCACGCTCTCCCCAGGGTGCGGGAAGGCGCTGTCCTCCATGCCTGGGGCGGGTGGGGGGCTGACCCACAGCAGGAGCAGCAGCAGGCTCAGCCGCTGGCAGGGGGAGGCACAGGGGAGTCAGGGAGCCCCCCCACTCTGGGGGGGCACCACATCCTGGCATGGGGTCTAAGTGCCCGGTGCTCCCTCCGCCACTTACCATAGCCAGCTGTGCCTCCTTGCCGACAGACTCCCCTAATGGAATCCAGCCTTTCGCCACCCCCCCCCCCCGCATCTCTCCAGGGGGTTCCAGGAGCTGGCCCAGCCCTTGGCCCGCCCTCCCTGGGCCGGATGGGTGGTGAGGCCAGCCTGTCCCCTCGACCCCCCCGCCCCCCAACCATCCTTGGCTGTTGCGAAACCTCAGCCCGCCCCGCTGGGGCTGGGAACCAGGAATGCTGGGGGAAGCCGAGATGCTCTCTGTCTGGTATTCGTGCAGACCGCAGCCACGGGGTTGGGGACACCACGGGGACTGAGGACGCTCCGGGGCGCCAGCAGCAGCTGGGAGTGGCTCCCCACTCTCAGCCCTGGACCACCCCTGCTTCACCAGCAGGCCTTTTGGCCTGTCAGTGCCCCCTAACTCTTTTTGCCTGTAGGGAAGGTCTGTGATGGGAGCTCAGGCTGATGCCTATGAGTATACTGAACCTGCCTGCCTGGAGCAGAAAGCCTCGGCTCTTGGCCTCAGTTTCCCTCTGGGCAGCACCAATTTCCTTTCATAATCCTGCCTCCTAGAACTCCTCTAACCCTGAGACACATGCTTGTACACACGTACATATGCACACACTCGCACATGCACGCACACACATGCATACTCACACATGCACACAGAGCACACTTGTGCATATGCACGCACATGTGCAAACTCACATATTCACACGTGTGCGGGAGGGCATTTGCCTTACAAGCGGCCAACATGGCCAACCCGAGTTCAATTCCTCCGCCCCTCTCGGAGAGCCCGGCAAGCTACCGAGAGTATCTCGCCCGCACGGCAGAGCCTGGCAAGCTCCCCGTGACGTATTCGACATGCCAAACACAGTAACAACAAATCCCATGACGGAGACATGACTGGGCCCGCTCGAGCAAATCGATGAACAACGGGAGGACCGTGACGTGACCGTGACCACACACACGTATAACATGTGCACACAAGCAGGCACACATGCACACATACACCCCCGTGTTTGGGCTATGCCTCCTTTCCACAACCTTGGCACTCAGGCTGAGATGGAAGGTCCTTACTATTGGGGTCGAATTTCTGACATGCTCTCAAGACTCCACAGAGTTTATGACTTTCTAGAGTGGTTTGTTGCCGTCTGGGTTTTGATGTTTGGGTCACATGCATGGAACACACACAGTGGCTACTCCAAGCTCTCTGCTTTACTCAAGGTTCACTCCTGGCTCTGTGCACAGGAATCCCTGGCAGGCTTTGGGAGACCCTCTAGGGTGTCGGGATCGAACCCAGGCTGTCTGAGTACAAGGTAAGCATCCTACCCTCTGTACTATTGCTCTGACTCAGAGAAATCCTTTAAAACTCTGCCATCTTCAAGCATACCACCTCCAAAAGCTTCCTGTAAGCTTGGGAGTCAAACTGAAATGTTTGGGCTAGCAAGACGGCTCCAAGGGCTGGAAAGACAGCTTTGCCTCAGAAGCCTTGGGTGTGATCGCCAGCACCCATGGGAGCTGAGTCAGGAGTAGCCCCCTGCATGGCCAGATATGGTCCCAGGCAAAAAAACAAATCAGTGAAGATCCTGGGGCTGCAGGGACAGTTCAGGGGGAAGGCTCTTGCTTTGCACATGTCTGGCCTGAGTTCAATACCAGGCATGTGGTTTCCTGAGCCCTGAGAGACGAGATCCCTGAGCACAAGAGCCAGCTGTAAGCCCCTGCGCACACCTGGGTAACCCTCCGCCCTCCCCCACAACACACACACACACACACACACAGAATTAAAATCCAAGAATTCTATTTACATAAGAGCCCTGGACACTCTCTAGCCACCTACAGGTCCTTGTCGGTTTTTCTTACGTTTTTCCCCTTCCTGCCTCATCTAACACCCTCTTCTCCCCCCCACCCCCCCAATCAGACTGGTCATCTGTGTCTTTGTTGGAACATTCTCTTCCTCAGCAGGATAGACTCCTCTCTGATTGCCCGGTCACTGAAGACTTTTTGTCTGGGCCTATAGTGCGACCTGTAGGGAGCTAACAGGAATTTATTTCTTTGTTTATTTGCTGTCTTGTTCCCTGGGGATGTAGTAGATGTTCAATACATAACTGAGCTTGGCAGATGTGAGATGCCTTGGGGCTGGAGCAATAGCACAGCGGGTAGGGCATTTGCCTTGCATGTGGCCAATCCGGGTTGGATTCCCAGCATCCCCTATGGTCCCCTGAGCACCACCAGGAGTCATTCCTGAGTGCAGAGCCAGGAGTAACCCCTGAGCATCGCCAGAGTGACACCCCCCCAAAAAAAAAAGAGTGAGATGCCTTGATTTTCTATCTTTGGTGACAGCAGCTACCTGGGGTACCTGCCAGGTACTCAAGAGGCCGGCTGTCAAACTCAGTTACACCATATGCAAAACTAAGGTAGGATTTATCTCCAAGATTCTTGCAGAGGTGAAATAAGCTATAGGACTGGAGTGATAATACAGCGAGTAAGACGTTTGTTTTGCATGCGGCTGACCCAGGTTCAATCCCTGGCATTGCATCCCATACGGTTTCCCAAGGAGTAATTCCTGAGCATCGCTGGGTGTGACCAAAAACGCAAAAAAAAAAAAAAGTGAAATAAGCTAATGCTCATGAAAATGATGTTTTCAGGTACTGTTCTTATTATCCTTTGTAAAAAGGGGATAACAGCGACCAAGTCCATAAAATTGTAGCTCATAAACATGCCTGGACTGAGTAAAGTGCTATTTTAAAAAAAAATCAATGCTGTTATCCTCATTATCCTCCCAGACCAACTGAAAGATTCCCTCCCTCCCTCCCTCCTGTGCTGAGGATCAAACCTAGAATATCCCACGTGCGAGGGAAGTACTTAACCTCTGAGTGGGTTAAAACCCCAGCCCCTTCATCGGAAGGATCTTGAGTCCTATCTTTGCTTCTTTGTTTGCAAGCAGGCAAATCCTCAGTGTACGGGCAAAGACACGGGGCATCCCTGGGCTGGGGATTCAGGCCCTGCTGGACCACAGACTCTCATCGCCCCGCCCACGGGCCTGGACCGCCTGCAGTCTCCGTGGAAACCCAGCAGCTACAGAGGGGCGTGACCGTTCGAGACGAACTTCAGTCTCCACCTATCGGCTCCAAGTCTTCCCTCCAAGGGCCGCAAATGAGGCCCCTGACGGGTGCGTCCCAGCGGGAAGGCGGGAGTACGGCGCCGCGCCGCGGGGGTTGTACTATCCCAACCAATCAATTGCCGAGGTGGCCGTGATTGACAGGCGTGGCGGGAAGCGGCCCGGGGAGCGGGCTTTTACCCAATCGGCGGGTCGCAGTCAGGATAAAAGGCCAATGAGGCGGCGCCGGGGGTGGGGCGAAGAGGCCGGTTGCTCCGGAAGTGGAGGGAGGGGGTGAAAATGGCGCCCAGCTCGAAATCGGAGCGGAACAGCGGGGCCGGGAGTGGCGGCGGCGGCCCCGGGGGCGCCGGTGGAAAGCGGGCAGCGGGACGGCGGCGGGAGCACGTCCTCAAGCAGCTGGAGCGGGTCAAGGTGAGTCTTGGAGTCTAGAAGGAGCGCGCCGGAGGGTGGGGATGCGGGCGCGGGAGGCGGAGGGAGGGAGGGCGCTCGCTGGGTGAGGGGTGGGGGGCGGAGTCCCGGGGGAGGGGGCTCGGATGGAGGGAGGCTGGGCGGGGTCCCCGGGAGAGGGCCGGGAAGGAGGGGGCTGCCCGGGAGGGCTGGGGGCGGGGCCGCTGCAGGACCCTGGGGGAAGGGGTCGGCTCCGGCTCCCGAGCCCCTCGCCCTGGGCTTTGCGCCGCGCTTCCCCCCAGCCCCCGTTAGCCTTCCGCGGGCTGTGTGCGCGGGACCCAGGAGCCCCGTATCTGCGTCCTCTCGTGCTCCCCTTGGAGCGAGCCCCTCGGCTCCCGAAGTCCGTCCAGACCCCAGGGGGTCGCGCAGCCGCTTGCCCCTGGAGTCCGTGGGAGGGCAGAGAGGGCTCGGCGGGGCTGTCGCTGCGCGGAGGGTGTGCCTCTTCCTCCAGGCTGGGGACTCCGGGCAGTGTCCCCTGCTTTTGAGCAGGGACAGCCTCCAACCCTCGGCCCAGAACTCCGTTTTGGACTGTGGCTCCCGTGGGGCCTCCAGCTCGCAGGGCTGTTCCGATGCCTCCTGGGATGCAGCTCTCATGAGGACACGCGGACCCTCCACACCCGGCTCCTACCTCTCTTGACTTCCGATCCTATGTCAAAATTTGGGGTGGAGGGAGTCACCTAGAAGAAGGGAAGGTGCCCAAGGCCATTGTCAGCCTTATTCTTCTGCCTGTCCTTAGCACCTGGGCACAGCTGAGAAGCCTGTCCATTGGAGGAGGCTGAGCACCTGGTGTAGGGGTTGGTGGGTCACCACAGCATGCCAGCCTCTGTCGTGGTGATGGGCACCCTGTGCCCTGGAAGACACCAGTGTGGGCGGGCGGGGGGGGGGGGTTGTTACTGGAACCTCCCTGGGGGTAACGATGGCATTGTTGGGCTGGGGATTGGGAGTTGGGGCAGGAGCCACCCTGTGGCCACGTCTCATCACCGCCGGCGCCTGGTTTGCCAGGCAGCAGCCTGTGTGGTGGGCTCAAAGCCCAGGGTTCAGGGCACCTCAAGAGCCTTGCCTATCCCTTCCCCAGATCAGTGGCCAGCTCTCCCCTCGCCTCTTCCGGAAGCTGCCCCCTAGGGTCTGCGTCTCCCTCAAGAGCATCGTGGATGAGGACTTCCTCTATGCTGGGTGAGGCAAGGCCCCCTCCCGGGAGGGGGGCACAGGGGTGAAGTGCCCCCAGTACTTGACAGAGCACCCCGGCCTGCAGACACATCTTCTTAGGCTTCTCCAAGTGTGGCCGCTACGTGCTGTCCTACACCAGCAGCAGTGGGGATGACGACTTCTCCTTCTACATCTATCACCTCTACTGGTGGGAGTTCAACGTGCACAGCAAGCTCAAGCTGGTAGGCTGGGAGCCCCGCCCCCCATACCTCCCCACCCCCTCCCCTGCTCTGGGACTCCTGGTCCAGCTGCACAAAGCCCCGTGCAGGAGGTGAGAGTGGGCACATGCGCCTCTTCCCGTGCTCTGGCGGACCCACCACTCAGTGACCCCGCCCACTCAATGCCCCTTTAGACAATGCACCTCTTCTTTCCTGGACACCCCCGTTGGATCCCCAGCTTTAGGAGGGCGGAGGGCTGCCGAGCAGGGCGCTTCCTGGGGCTCCTCGAGCCCAGCACTGCCTGCTCCCTTGTAGGTGCGGCAGGTGCGGCTCTTCCAGGACGAGGAAATCTATAGCGACCTGTACCTGACCGTGTGCGAGTGGCCCAGCGATGCCTCCAAGGTCATCGTCTTCGGCTTTAAGTAAGGGGGGCAGCAGGCCAGGGTGCGGGACACCTGGGTTCCATCTTGAGGCTCCTGTTGCATCCCCTGCAGGGCGTGGCCCTGGTGACGCCCAGCCCACTGGTCCACCGAGACCAGCCTGGCTTGCCTGGCCCCCTTACAAAATAGCTTCAGGGATGAGAGGGGGGCAGGGCAGCCCACTAAAGGCGTGCCACCCCCAGCACCCGCTCTGCCAACGGGATGCTCATGAACATGATGATGATGAGTGACGAGAACCACCGTGACATCTACATCAGCACAGTGGCCGTGCCGCCACCTGGCCACTGTGCTGCCTGCCGAGAAGCCAGCCGCTTGCACCCAGGTGAGGGGCGGGGCTTGTGGGGGTGGGGTGGGGCTACGCCCCGCCCCCGGGCCCTGCGTGCAAGTGTGTGTGTCCCACAGGAGAGCCCGGTGCGCAGTGCCTGCGGCACGGCTTCATGCTGCACACCAAGTACCAGGTGGTGTATCCCTTCCCGACCTTCCAGCCTGCCTTCCAGCTCAAGAAGGACCAGGTGGTGCTGCTCAACACCAGCTACTCCCTGGTGGCCTGCGCCGTCTCCGTGCACTCTGCAGGTGGGCCCCGTGCTTCCGTGTGCCTACCCCCCTCCACAGGGCCTCGATGCTGGGTCGCGGGCTCTCAGGATGTGGCAGAAGGCGTGGTAAGGTGGAGCTGCCGGCTGAGTGCTGGCCCCTCCCCGCCAGCGGCTCTGGCCCCCAGAAGGGGGCTGCATGCGTGCTAGGCTCCAACTGGACCCCACCCTGGAATGGGCTGTACATTTGCAGCCAGGCTCACTTGGCCATCCTTTTCGTTGCAGGTGATAGCAGCTTCTGCCAGATCCTGTATCATCACACCATTCCCTCTGCCCCCACCCCTCCCAGCCCCCCAGGGCCCCCCAGCCCACAGGCACCTCCCACCCTCCCTAGCCTCAGTCCCGAGGAAGCCGCACCCCGGCCTCCTGGGGATCCTGAGCCCTCGCCCGCCATCGCCAAAGCCAAGGAATTTGTGGCTGACATCTTCCGGCGAGCCAAAGAGGCCAAGGGCAGTGCCTCCGAGGACGCCCGGCCGCTTCCCTGCCCTGAGCCCTCCAGCAGCCGCTGCCGAGGGGCCGCAGAGCCCCTGGGCCCAGCGGGGGAGGCGGTGCCTCGGGACAGCTCCCCTGCCACCCAGCCAGGCACCCCAGAACCTGGCTACATCAACTACACGAAGCTCTACTACGTGCTAGGCTCAGGGGAGGGGACCGAGCCTGAGGAAGGTGAGTGGGGGGCCCTGGGCAGGCAGGTGCGGGGGGCCGGCCTGCGCCCCACTGAACAGCCCCCTCACCCCCCAGAGCTGGAGGACGACAAGATCTCCCTGCCCTTTGTGGTCACGGACCTCCGGGGCCGCAGTCTGAGGCCCATGCGGGAGCGGGCCACCATGCAGGTGGGTGCGGGCAGGGTCGCGGCGGGGGCAACTCCCAGCATGCCTGCCAACCTGGCCCTCGCCTCTGCCCACAGGGCCAGTACCTGACGGTGGAGCAACTGACGCTGGACTTTGAGTATGTCATCAACGAAGTCATCCGGCACGACGCCACGTGGGGCCACCAGTTCTGCTCCTTCAGCGATTATGACATCGTCATCCTAGAGGTGTCTCAGCGTTTGGGGGTTTGGGGGTGGCGGGGGGCCCCAGCCTCCCCGTGCAGGGCTAACACTCTCTCTTCCCTTGCGGACGCTCCCAGGTGTGCCCGGAAACCAACCAGGTCCTCATCAACATTGGCCTGCTGCTCCTGGCCTTCCCGTCCCCCACCGAGGAGGGCCAGCTTCGGTGAGCCCCAGGGCCCCCTTTGGTGCCTCCTGCCCCGCCCCTGCTAGCCTGCCAGCACCCCCTCACTCAGTGCTCCCCTCTCCCGCCCCCTCCCTGCTGCAGACCGAAGACCTATCACACCAGCCTGAAGGTGGCCTGGGACCTTAACACCGGCGTCTTCGTCACTGTCAATGTGGGGGACCTCACAGAGGTCAAAGGGCAGACCAGGTGAGCCAGCCGGGGCTGGTGCAAAGCGGGGCGGGCTGGGGGCCACAGCTGCTGACCCCTCTGACTCCTCCTGTCCCCCTAGTGGTAGTGTGTGGAGCTCGTACCGCAAGAGCTGCGTGGACATGGTGATGAAGTGGCTGGTGCCCGAGAGCAGCGGGCGCTACGTCAACAGGATGACCAATGAGGCCCTGCACAAAGGTGGGCACAGCCGCCATGGTGGGGGGGTAGTGGGGGAGGCACGGAGGACTCCATGGCTGTCCCCGCCCGCAGGGTGCTCGCTCAAGGTGCTGGCCGACAGCGAGCGGTACACGTGGATCGTGCTGTGAGCGCCGGCCGCCAGACACTGACTCGACTACCTCCGCGGCCGGGAGCCGCCTCCGGCCTCTTCCCTGCCACCGGCCGGCCCGAGGGTGCGGGGAGGACTGGGCAGGGCAGCCCCCGCCTCGGGGTGCCAGGCGGGGTGCTTCTTATTTATGCCTATTTAAGTTGGGAAGGGGCAGGGGAGCCACTGCCCATGCACCCCTCAGGGCCCCTGGGCTCCAGGAAAGGACTGACCTCCCCGCACCCAGGCCTCGGCAGAGGCGGCAAACCTTGGGCACCCCCGTCTGCACCTCGGTGCCTCCTCGTGTAATAAATGTTTATTTCTGAACCGCCCCACGCCCCAGTTGTTGCTGCCGCCCAGCCAGGCCTAAGTCGGTCATAGTCAAATCTCACGGCAGGATTTATTGTATTAAGAAAGACTACAAAAGGTAGAAAACAGCTCGGCGCTACACTAGCACACACGCGTGGACACTTTCACCGCGGGAGGGGTGTGGGCAGGCCGCCCCAAAAGCTATAGCACGCGGAGCGCACAAGATAGTGATTTTTATACATTAGGCCAAATGTTTCCTTATTTTTCTTTTTTTCCCTTCATATTTGCTGTTTGTCCTTTTTTTTTTCTCCTTTTTCCTTTTTTGGCCCTAGACATCTCACGGGCTGAAAACACTTGAGAAAACCAGAACAGATAAGGCCATGATGGTTGGGGAATCCCACCGAGTTACCAACTCCGCGCAGGCGGGCACACCACTGCCCGCAGCAGAACCCCACCGCCCTAGTGCCCGGCCCAGCCGGTGGCTCTTTGGAAGCTGGACGCCAAGCCCCTGCTGCCTGCCCCACAGCTGGCAGTCAGCGCCCCTGGAGGTCCAGGGCAGGGCAGCGGGGCAGGGAGGGCCCAGCTCTGGAGATGGACACCCACGGCTTTAATTGCACTTAGACCAAGGAGGGAAGTGGGGGAGGGAGAGGGCGGCTGCTGACAGTGGGGTCATCCCCAGGTGATGCCCACCTGCACCCACCCGGGCTCAGGGCTGGGCCCAGGACGGGCTGTGCAAAGCCAGCGAGCAGAATAAGTTAACGGTTCCGCAGGGGGAGGGGGCCTGCCTGTGCCCCGGGTTAGGGGGGGTATGCTTCAGCCTCCGGGATAGCCCGGAGGGGCACCCGGGCACCAGCAGGTTCCTAAGGCACATGGTTTATGTCAGTTTGCAGCGGCCACTCAGCGCGGCCCAGCAGGAAGGGGCTCCCTGGGCCCCCCCTGTCTCCAGGCCCCCTACCGCCAGGGGCCAGGAAGCCCTATGGAAGCTGTGAGGGGAGCCTGGCGTGAAGGAGCTGCGGGGCGGGCTGCGGGCGGCTGGGACGGGGAGGCCTCGGGCTTAGCTGGACGGCAGTGCCTGTACGAAGAGGCCCCGCGCATCCGTTCGTGCCAGCTTGGCCGGAGGCTCCAGCGCCTCAGGACCCAGCGCGGGCGACTGGCCGCCGGCCGCCAGCGAGATGTCCTGGGGCAGCTCGTCCTCGCTGTCCTCCTCCTCTTCCTCCTCCTCATCTGGGGCACATGGAAAGCAAGCCCGGCTCAGTGCCAGCGCAGGGAGCGGAGGGGGGGCGCTGGCACCACCCCCTCCCCCATCCCCCATGCCAGGGCCCTGGGTCGGGACAGGCGATCCCACCTTTGTCCGGATCCAGGGGGTTCAGCGAGGTGGCCAGGTTGGCAAACTGCAAAGGGTGAGAGAGGAGGTGAGCGCCTCATCTTGCGGCGCCCCGCCCCGGGCCTCAGAGGCCCCCCCTCCTGGCCACGCACCTCTCCCATGACGGCGATGGGGGTCTCGCCCTTGGCCTGGGCCACGCGGTGCTCGATCAGGTAGTACATGTACTCATCGTAGAGCAGCCGGATGAGGTGGAAGGAGCCGAAGCTGGCGGCGCTGCGCAGGGTGAGGTCCCGGATCACCATGGAGCTGGGGTCAGCGGAGGAAGACTGTGAGGCCAGCCCGCGGGCCTCCCTAGGGTGTCCGTGCGGGGTTCCCCCTTGGCCCGCCCACGCCAAGCTGGAACCGGGCTTTATAAAAGGCTCCGGGGAGACCCCAGGGAAAGTGTCCAGGCCCTCCCTGGGCAGGCCCAATAGATCTGGGGCCTTCTCCGGCCCCGCCCAGAACAGGCTCATCAGAGGCTGACAGGAGCCCCTCAGCAGGAGCTTGGCCCCGCGGGCCCGTCAGACCATGCCCCCGACCCTCGATGGCCACCCTGGCCCCTCCCCTCTGCATGGGCACACCTGTAGAAGGACCACTTGAGGAGGAAGAGCTTGGCAGCCTTGGGGAAGCCGGCACTGCCCTGGTAGGGCTTCAGCACCTGGCTGACCACGCCGTCCAGCCAGGCTGCCCACTGCTCCAGTGAGTTCTGCTGCTGCAGCGTCACCTTGAAGTCCTGCTCCAGCCGCTGCACCACGCGGTCCTCGCAGCGGCACACCCACGAGGCCTGCTCCTAAGCACAGCGGGCGGGCAGAGCCCAGGCTCAGCCCCCGCCCCCATGCGGCTCCCGGGGGTCCCCAGCCGCCTGTGCTCACCTGCACGTTGGCGAAGTCCACGCGGTTGAGGTCGCTCAGCATCTGATTGATCTGAGCCGTGTTCTGCAGCACAGCGCGCGCTGCCTGTGCCAGGTGGTTGAGCGACGTATAACGCCGCAGCGTCTGCGCAAAGGCGCCCGCCGCTGCCACCTGCAGGGTAGGGGGCTGTGACTGGTGCGCAGAACCCACCCTGGGGCCCAGCCGCAGCCGCCGCGGGGGCCCTGTTGGAGGAGGGTCGCCTCCCTTCTTCTGCCGAGACAGCTCTTCAAAGTCTGGGCACCCACCCACCCACCCACAAGTGTGCCTCAAAAACGTGTGTCTGGCTAGCAGCATCTTTAGGTGAAAGGTAGTGCCCTTCAGAACACCCCGACACTTGAGTACACAATCCTGCACTTGGGTTTCCCGCCATCACGGTGTGTGCACGCTGAGTCCAGGCTGTGCTCCGGGGCCCAGCATGCCTGGTACACGGTGGGCGCTCATGAAGTGCATGAGTAAATGGACCAGTGGTCTCCGTGGCTCCGACTGGCCTTTCCCTGGACCTGGCTTCTATTTACATGCACAACAGTGCCCCCCTCCCCACCCTCAGACCTTGGTTCTGTTTAGCTGTCTTGTTTGCGTTTTGGGAACTGAAGCAATACTTCTTGGGGGAGTGGGGGGGGGCGCGCCCCAGGCCTAAGCATACAGGTGCTCAGTCCTGACCCAGGTGCATCTGGTTCTGTCCCAGTAGGGTAAGAGAACTGCTTCCAATTTTCATTCGTTTTTTATTCGTCGACGACTCGATGGTGCTACAAATGCTGCAGCAGAGGGCTGTGTTTCCCATGGGGGCTCGCCTCGCCTTGGGGCTAGCCTAGTGCTCACTCGGGCGCCCCGCCCCTCCCCTGCCCTGCTTTACGGCCTTCGTCTCACCTTCACCCGCAGCATCTCTTCAGGGATGTTGACCATGGCATGGGTGAGCCAGCTTTCCAGGCTCTTGGCGAAGTTCCGGATCGCTTGGGTCAAGGCACCTGGGGGGGGGGTCGGGGGCTGATGAGGAAGAGCTGGGGCCAGGAGGCGGGGCGGGGGCGGGGCTGGGCGGAGGGCTGCGCGCTCACTGGGGATGGGCCGCAGCACGTCAGGGATGAGGATGTCCACCAGGCCCTGGTACAGCACGTTGTCACAGTGCTTGGTCCACAGCAGCACTGGCTCGAACTTGGCCAGCAACACGAGGCTGGCCTTAGGCAGCCGCTTCTCGGCCTCGTCGTGCCTGTGGACACCCACCCACCCCGGGGTCACACAAGTACACTTGGGACAGGTACCCACTCACGCCCACCCACGCCACAATCTGGGGTCAGGCTGCCAAGACCCCAGGATCAAACGGCCACACAATGGTGCCCACCCCAGCACAGCCCTAAAGTGGTAAAGTTGAGCCACCCTGGCGCATTGTTCCTGAGGGGCTCAGGGCAGGGGGCATCAGCACCAGCCTACAGCATGCCCACCCCGGCAGACTCACACAGCCAGCGGCGGCGCCTCACTGGGTGGATTGAGATGGTGCCTCCAGAAGGTCTTCCACAGGGTCTCCACCAGAGTGAACTGCAGGTTCACCATGACATCCACGATGGCCTGCCAGGTAAGGGGGCCCAAGCGGGTGCACACTCAGAGGGGTGGGGTCAAGCAGGTCCCTTCCCCTCCAGGCCCTGCCCCATTTTCCTGGATCTTGCCTATCACCAGTGCCCGCCCCTGGACAGGCTCCGCCCACCACCAGAGCCTGCCCCTACACAGGCCCCGCCCATCACCAGAGCCCGCCCCTGGCCCGCCCCCTGGCCCTACCTCACAGTGTTCCCGGTACAGGACCTGGAAGGCCTTCAAATCCCCCGGCCCCACACCTTCAGGTAGTGCCTTGCCCTGGAGGTCCAGCTCCGAGAAGTCTGGGAGGCTCCTTGAGGCATCTGAGGGAGAAGATCCCCGAGGTGCCCTTTATCCGCCCCTCCCCCACCTCTCCCTGGGAAATGCTCCCTTTCCTCCCTTGCCGTGGTGCCCCCTTGGAGGCAGGGACACAGTGAGGCTTGGGGAGCCCCTGCCCTGGAGTCCATGAGGGTCCTGCGTGCTAGTGGGGGGCGATGGGGAGCCCTGGGCTGGGGGGATTCGGGCCAGCAGGAGGGAACAGTTCCCTGAGCTCTGGCCCCAGGGAGGTTCAGCCTGTGGCCCAGAGCATCACCACGGGCACTGTGGGCTTGTGGGCAGGGAGCTGAGATCCCACAGGATTCCTTGTTTGGGGGAAGGGGAAGCCTGGTGGGGAGGTGGCTACTAGTTCTCTAGCTCTCTCAGCCCACCAGGCCAGCAACACAATCAAGGGTGAAAGGTGCAGGGCTGCTGGGATTGGCAGAACAGGGGATTGCCTGTGTCACCCCAGGATGCCGGGGGGCCCCGATCTAAAGAACCCCAATCATCTCAGTCTTACATCGTCTTCCTGGGTGCACTGTGGGGCCAGGGGCAGGGAGAGAGGGTGGGTCCCATTGAGAAATGGCTCCTGCCGGGTGCAGGGGGCACTCACCCAGGAACTGCTGGTACTGCTGCACCTGGGCGCTGATGTCCGACAGCCCGCTGGCGTGCTGCGGCCCCACGGCCACCCCATTGGTCATGCCCTCCAGCTTCTGGATGGGCTTGAGCCTGCAGTGGGGGATGCAATGATGGCGGGGGCTGGCCGGGCTGCACGCCCAGCCCGGCTGCCCACAGCTGGGGCCCCCTACCTCTGCTTCTGCGCGAAGGGCTGGCCC